AACGTTAGTAGAACCCATCTTAAACTCCACAGAATCGATGTCCGTCTTAATCTCCACAGAACCAACTTCACTCTTAACGGCAAAATTGACAACATCATTGGAACTTGATGCCACACATTTTTGGAACACTAGAAAGAAAATGTTCTGGCACTGGCTTAGCAAGCACAAATTGAGCCCCACTCTGTGAATGTTGCAAGAGTGACATGGCTTCTTCTGGAGGTAGCAAGGAAGACAGTAGCTCGGCCTGCTCAAGTGTGTCGACCAAGGCTGCTCACGCCCATTGAACGCTTTGTTGTACCGGGGCCCCTATAGACCAGAGCTTCCTCAAAGTCTCAATTTGAGCACCACCTTTCTTTGATACATCACTGATCATTGCCTGTTGAATCAGCTTCACAACCATCACTTCCTCAGGTGTCCATTCGAACACGGTGTCCCCAGTGATTAATCTCAACATGTATGAGGGCAGCCTCCAAACAACGTGGAAGCTGAAAGAGCGGGGTGATCTCATAGTCTGCCAACCGCATATTTCTGTGTTGGGAAGTTGCACTTCTCGTCACTGCAGTTCTTTCGTAGATACCGGAGACTGGCATTCAGTTTGGATAGTACCACTTTGTCGCACCCGGACACAATAAGTAGACCGGCAGTCCATGGCCATTCTGAACGTTGCGAATCACTCCCGCTCTTGCATAGGCTGCAGCTTGAATGATCCCATTCGTTGTGCAATTGTACAGAGCAACACGGCTTGAGACCCGTGTTCATCCACTGCTGATTCTTCGTCATCTGAGGCGTCGTCGCCCAGAGTTTGATCAGCTATGTAGGGTGCCATTGTAAACCCCTGGTTGTGAGCTTTTGGCGAAGACGCTACCCCAACACACCCTTGATGAACTTGTTCTTCTCGTACTCCCTCCATTCCTTATCCGTTCACAAACATTCCAGGAAGTCCCAAAGCCATGAACTGGATTTACCTGATGTTTTCCCCCCTGTTGTTGTCAAACAATCTGAAAAAGACGATGTGACAAAATTCTAGAAACGGCGTACTCAGCAATGATCATGTCGATGGTCGCCTGGGGCATCTTTCCGCCGGCAAACCTGTGTCCACCACCTCGTTGAAATGTCCTCGGATCACAACCACAAAGGGCTCGCGGCAATAGTAGATCAGAATCCCGTCCGCATTTCCCTGCTATCAACCAAGCTCCCAAGAGCTCTCTCTCTCTCACTCTCTTCTCGCTCGCTCACTGTGTGTGTGTGTCAAAGCTCTGGGTCACATGGAGAAATTTTGAAAGATATCTTCCAAACGAGATTTTGTGAATGCCTTCCGAGCGCTTGAGAAGTTTTTCATGGTTCCTTCACTTCTCTTGCAACAAGACACAGCATATTAATATGTCATTGCCATAATTGGAGATATTAGGCAATACATTTAGCAGCCTGCTTGGAACGAAGTTTGCCCTAGCAAGTTGGTGGAGCTTGTAGATGTGAAAGTTTTGAGATTGTGAGTAGTCATCATTTTGTACCACTCTTTTCCAAGTCTTACTTCATCGATGCAAAGCTGACTCGATTGCTCATGAGGTTTCCTTGACTTCTTGGATGCAATCATAAAAAAAACTCATACGAACCAAAACTTTAGGCCTTTATTGACGACAAACTTTCCCTGACGCCGTGATTTCTTTTCGGGATCTTTTTCTTTACCTCCGGTCTGTACAAAAGAGAAGTGCCATCGCTCTACCAATTCTCTTTGGTCATCTTCTTCTTTTCGATGATGAATTTGCCTTCTTTGTACTTCTCCCTCTGCTCGTAGGCTGTATCCTGGAAGTCCATGTGAGAAAAAAAGAAGAAGAAAAAACCACAAAAAAAAAGAGAAAAAACGCCAAACTTGTAAAAAAAAGCAGAAGGAAAAAAGATAAAAGACTCACATATTTCCAGCCAAGAACTTGCTGGCAGCAAATACAATAGATATCGTTCACCGTGTGCAAGCCCGTAATGAGATTGCGCTCCTCCTTGGGCCCAAGAAACACATTCACCCTGTTACCACTCAGTCAATCCAACAGTACTGAAAGGGCAAAGAAAGAAGAAAGGGCACAAACAAAGAAAATCCATCAATCCAGTCTTCCAATTCCAATCCAATGCAACCCAACCCAAAACAAAATGCACTAGAATCGCCCACTTACACTTTGTTAAAGAGATAGGCGCGACCGTATCGGCCATGGAATTGCTTGGACACGACTTCCTCGTGATCGGCGGCGTGGGCGTGGCAATTGCTGCAACAATAGATTCGATTGCCCGACAAGTACTCCTGGATTATCTGCCCCATGCGCCAGGGAGCCTCCTCTCCTCCTCTTGCCCTAGCGCGCCCAGCCACGAACCCTACCTATTCATCCAGTGAAACACCACAAACACGGGAAAACTAACCGATACACAAGAACGACTTTTACTTCACTCCACATATAATCAAAGAACAAAAGTATAATATAATGTATATATCAATCATATCGTGAAATTCTCCACTCATTGCTCTTACAGAAATCGTTTGTTCTTCCCCAAATTCCAACTCGGGATCCAATTAAGTTCGTAAACTTGACTGAATGCAATCGACTGTATTTACCTGAGCACGAAACTTAGACCTGAAAGAAAAGAAAGAGGAGCTTACCAGTAAGTATAATACCGCAATGAACAAGGCAAGGAACCACACGCGACGATACCGCCAGCGCGTGATCAATCCTTTGCCTTCACAAGTAGAGAAGCTTTTCCCTCAATATGCGCTCTGCGCTTTCGCCAGTGAGCTGCAGAAACGATTGAACAAAACGTAGAACAACGAAGCACAAAAAGCATACCTGCGAGGTTTATTTTGCCTTTCTTCAGATGGCAAGCCTGCGCAGAGAGTATAAAAGCTGAGACTCTCTCAACTCCGGGCACTTGAATGCTTACCTGAAGCTTCAGAAGGCGGCCTCCACATGTTATTCGATCCATGCTCCCTACTCAAGAAGCACTGGCGTCAGATCACCGTCTCCTAACGAGTAAGATCCTACCTAGACGGCTGGAACACTGGCTGGGAAGATGGCTGCGCAAAATACATTCCTGGTGACGTGCTGTCCACAGCAATGTAAGGTGACATGAAACCGGTGCCTAACCCATTCCCTCCTCCAGCCAGAACTGGCACCCTGTATCGCAAAGAGAGAAAAAAATGTAAGCTGAGAGTACACTAACAAAAAGAGCATACCAAGCTATCTCGGAATTCCCATATCCATAAAGAGGTTGCCCCGAGAGTGGCATCATGCTTGGAACCATCACCCCTCCTTGAGACTGGTTACCATACTGAAGAACTGATCAGCCAAGACACCGGGACATAAGTAGTCTCTTCAACAAAAAAAATCGCATAGAACTTACGTGGGCTCAAAACTTGGGGCGGAGAAAAGGCGTTGTCTCGAGCAGGAGCGCTGCCATACACGAGGGAACTCTTTCCAGACGAAGCAGTCCGGGCACCTCTTCCACCGCCACCAACAGCCGCTCCAGAGTCGTTCGCACTGACGAGAGGATTTCCCCGCAGACTAGACGTCGAAGAGTGAAACTCCTGAGAGTGTTGCGCCTGGGCTGGCTGCTGGACTATCCTACTCGTAGAAGCCTGAGACTGAGCCACAGCTTTGCCTTTCCCAGCTGCTGATCCTGTTACTAACCGGCCTTTCGAGTAAAAATGCGAGTCCGCGGCTTTGGATGCGTGCCTCGAAGACGTGGGTGCTTGCGCCGAGAATAAGGAGCTTGAGGCTTCGGCCGTATCAGATTTCCCGTGGGGGAGCTTCGGTACAAAGACGGACGAGCTCGCGGTCAGCTTCCTTAGGCCGTTTCCGATAACTCTCTTGCTGCTTTCCTGATGCCCAGCGTCTTGCACCCCTGACGCCCCGGTTGGGAAGAATGGCGGCGAGGACGAGCTCAGGCTGGAAGCGCCAACTTGTTTCTTAGCGACATACTGACTGCCCAGCTCCCTACAACACAGAACAGTGCCGATATTCAGTAGCTCCAAAGAAGTTGTCCTTTAGAGTTCATTGCTTAGCTAGAGCAAAAAGAAAAATCCCACACCAGGCTTACACTCGATATGAATGCGTCAGGCAAGCACGAAAACCAAAACACCAGAGGAAGAGAGTGCCACCACTACTTGTTAGCAAGAGGAGCCGCGTCTTCGTGGTCCTTCTTTGCTCCTCGGCCTTTCACAGAGACGCGCTGCGTAAGCACAGGGCCGTTCTCCTCGGTGGGATTGACAAGCCGGCCTCTTCCACGGCCTCGGCCTCTTCCTCTTCCGCGGCCTTGGCCTCTTCCTCTTCGCCGTAAGTTCTGACATAAACCAGAGCTCATTCCGGAAGGAGAAGAAACTAGAAAACCAACCTCTTGTGCTCCTAGTGTAAGCTCCTCGAACATGTCATGGACCCAAGGCTTCTCATCTTTCGCCTCCCAGAGCCTCCTTCCTCCCATTCCACGCCTAAATAAAAAGATTTCTAGAGACAAGCTCGATAAAAAAGGAAAAACCATCACAGACCTGGGTCTCGCTCCACCACTGTCCCGGAATCGATCGTCATGCATGTAGAATGCGCCATTCGTGGGAACCATAAATGGCTCAGCCTCCTTCTTCTCATCGCCCGCCGCGCCTCCTTCGCCAGAATCCTTGCGGGCCAAGTCATTCCCATCCTTACCCAGCTGCTGGCGCCCATCGAACGACTCGTCAATGAACTCCTCGGCCTCCTCCTCATCCAGCCAAGCCCCATCCCCAGCTCCAGCTTCTTCCTCGTCCTCCTCATCGTCCTCGTCGCTCGCCTCGCGGCGCCGCAGCGCCAATGCCAGCGTACCCTCGCTCACATCGCTGTCGTAATCGCTGCTGTTGTTGGGAGAGGCCTCCGCTCCCTCTGCCGCCGCTGGAACCGCGCCGCCGGTGAAGAACCCTAGCGTTGCAGTCGCCTCCGCCATTGCTGCGCGCTTCCTCCCTAGGGCAAAAATAAATCGAGAGGTCAAGGCGGATATTCGGATGCCATGGCGCCGGCATATTCGAAAATGTAGGGCTCTACGCAAGCATATTCCGAAATCTAGGGCTCTAGCGGCTGGCAAGGCGGCAAAAACGTGTTTGCGAGCAGGACGTAAGTTCCCGCGCTGGCGGGATCCTGTTCTAGGGCTCGCTGCGTCGCTCGCGCCCCGCGCTCCACATCCCTATGGATCCGGCATGCATTGAGCAGTGCGCTCCACGAGGCTTGGTTGGGCACAAAGGGCATTCTTTCGATCAGCTCCTCGGCGGCGGCCAATTCCCCGGCGCGGCCTAGAACAGCGATCAAGCACGAGAAATGCTCGCGCCACGCCGCCAATCCGTGCTCGCTCATCACCCGGAAGAACTCCCGCGCCTCCTTGACGCGCCCCAAGTGGCTGCAAACGAAGAGGAGGCTCAGGAAGAGCACCTCGTTTGGCGAGGCCGCTTCCATGCCCATCAATCGCAGCAATCCCAGCGCCTCGCCGCTGGATCCAAACTGCGCCGCGGCGGTGATCATCCCCGACCACGAGACCGGATCGCGATCGGGCATGGTGTCAAACACCGCCTTGGCCTCGCTCACGTATCCATTCCGTGCATACGTGGTGACCATCGCGCTCCAGGGCACGCAATTGTCCTTGGGCATTCGATCGAACAGGTGCTTCGCGGCGCCCAGCTCCAAGAACTCCCCGTACGCCACCACCATCGCCAGCGTTGTCACGGAGTTCTTGCACGGCATCGTGTCGTACACCCTCTTCGTCCCCTCCAGGTCGCCATTCCGTGCAAACCCCATGAGCAGAGCCGTACAGGCCACGACGTCGTGCTCCGGCATCTGGTCGAAGATGCTTTTGGCCAGCTCTAGGTTCGAGGCCCGAGAGTGGAGGTTTATCAGGGCCGTCCACGTCAGTACGTCTCGCCTGGGCATCCGCTCGACCAGCTCCACCGCGCCGTGAACATCGCCGTCGATCACGCACGCCTGGACGATCGAGTTCCAGGAGATGATCGTGCGCTCCGGCATGGAATCGAAGAGCTCGCGCGCGTCGCCCAGCTCCCCATTCTCGCCGTGGGCGGCGATCATTGCGTTGATCATCACCACGTCGTGCTCCGGCACCGCACCATCGAAGATCGCCCGCGCTGCTGCGGTGTCGCGCCGCGCCGCCAGCGCCTGGATCATCGAGTTCCACGCCACGGTGTTCCACTCGGGCATCAAATCGAAGCACCGCTTGGCGCTGTCGAAGAATCGCCCGCCGTGCTGCGCGAAGGCCGACAGCATCGTCGCCCACGTCACCATGTCCCGGCGCGGCATACTGTCAAACAGCGACTTGGCGCCCTCCACGTGGCCGTTGTCCGCGAACGCTGCCAGCATGGCATTCCACGTCACCAGGTGGCGCTCCGCCATTTTGTCAAACAGGGCCTTGGCGCCCTCGAGGTCGCCACCCTGCGACATCGCCGCGATCATGGCCGTGCATGCTACCTCGTCCACGAGGGGCATCGCGCGGAATATCCGCGTCGCGGTCGCGTGGTCCCCTGCCGCCGCGATCACTGTCGCCGACGACACCACGTCCCGCGCGGGCATCCGACGGTAGAGATCCGCCGCCGCGTCAATCTGGCCGTTGGTGCAACACGCTGCGATCATCGTGGTCCATGACGTGAGGTTTTTCTCTGGAATGGATTCGAACACTTGCCGCGCCTCTGCTAGATGCCCCGCTTGGGCATAAGCATGGAGAAGGGAATTCCAAGACACGGTGTTTTTCTGGGGTATGGTATCAAAAAACGCTTTTGCTTGATCTACTAAGTGGCCTTGTGTGTATGCTCTGATCATCGCAGTGAAAGACACAACGTCCCACTCGGGCATATCATCAAACAGTAGCTTCGCTTGATCGAAATCGCCACCCTCGGCATAAGCAGATATCATGCAGTTGCGCGAGATCAAATCCCGCTCGGGCATCTCGTCAAACATCAGCCGAGCGCCACACAAATCCCCGGACTGGGCGCGCGCGCGCATCACGGCAGTCCAAGCGATTGGGTTCCAGGAGGGCATTCGATCCAGCAGCGCTTTCGCCCCTTCGACTTCGCCATTGCAAGCGTAGCCCGAGATCAACGCGCACCACGAAACGAAATTCCGATTGGGCATCCGATCAAAGTGAAGCTTCGCCTGCTCCAGATGCCCATTCTGGGCATATGCTGCTATGATAAAGTTCCAGGAGAAAACATTGGGCCTGTGGATCTGGTGGAAGACACGGCGCGCGTCTTCGCTCCTCCCGCACTTACCATACATCTGGATGAGGAGATTGGCGAGAAATGTGTCGCTGGTGGCAAGCCCAGCTCGATCGATCTGAGAGTGGAGCCGGCGGCCAAGCGCCAAGTCCTTGGATTCGCAGCAGCGCTTGAGAGCCGAACCAAAATCCTCCGAGGGTGGCGCGCATGACACCATGTCATGTCAATCTCGTGCTTGACATTACGTTTTCTTTTCCTCTTTCCACCCACGATCCTTGCGCGACCTCATGATCGTCTCCGTGGATACCATCGCGCGGTCGCCCAGGAAGCTTCTAAGCAGTGGTACGTGGCGCCCGTCGCGAAGCTGCCTGGAAGCAGCACCTCCGTCGGATATTCCCGCGAGCGCATTCAAAAAGCCGAAGATGCGGTCACGACGAGAGCATGGCCCGCCGAAAAAACGCCCGCCGCCTGCCACGTGTCCCAAAGAAATTATTCCAGTGATCATCACTGGACCATGGAGTGTGTATCATGGCCTGGAATTTCTTGCTATACTGGGCCACTGCCTTATTCTAAGAATATCCAAACAGGGAGAGGAAAGTAAAATCTCCCAGCCCAGAATTTCTTGCAAGGAATCTGGGGCCGGATCACGTTTTCCTGCAAAGCTAGAAAAGAAGGTGGCCAAAGAAAAGCCTTACAAAAGCAAAAGCTGATGCATTGAAACACCAAAGCTTTGGTTTGCGAAATGGCGATGATCCGATCAGATATCCTAGAGCTATGGTGATGATAAGCTACTGCTACTTGGAGATTCAGCTAAGATCTGGCATCTCTTGCTCTCCCAAACTCCAACCTTGGCATTTAAAGTTCCAAGGGGCCACTTCTCCAAATTGCCCTATTTTGTATTGTTAAGCGGGTTTTAAACATCTAACTAAGCTATATTTTAAACCCTTTAGCGGTTTTTAAATGGGGGGGAGAAATAGTTAGCCGTCGCTGTTGAATGGGGGGAGGAAGAATGGGCGATTATATAAAGGCGATTGGATGATCGCTGGCTGCTAGCCCCACTTGAGATTTCAACGCTCGAGCACATAAAAAAACATGGAAAAAAATGTAAGTGGGACAGTGGTTTTGAAGTAGGGTGTGTGTGTGTTGTGTGGTAGTGTTAGCCATCTGGCTGGCGGGCTTCGTTTTGATGCGTCACAGCAGCGAGGAAGGAGAGAGAGAGAGGAGAAAAAAGGAGAGAGAAGAGGAGGCGGAGATAGGGATGGGTTCTTTCGATCTCCCTTGAATGTTCGCGTCGCGCACGACTTCTTCCACCCCCTTGGCGAATCAATGAGCGAATGAAGGCGCGCGACAGCGATCGGAATCGTGAGTCAGCGATCGGTGTATCATCGCCAGGGATTGTGGCGAGAGGAGGAGCAGCGAGCGATCTGGGTCGGGAATTGGGCGGATTGGGTCTCTTGGGTCGGCGCTGGATTTGGAATTGGACGCGCGCTCGATCCGGGCTGGAGCGATAGAGCTTCGGGTGGCTATGGAGTTTAGCAGTAGCGATCAGGGAGGGAGTGTCAAGAGACCCATGGCCTCGATCAGGCCGCTGCTAATGCTGCCTCCTCGGGCGCCTGGCGGTGGAGCTAGCGCCTCCGCCGGGGCCTCTTCTTTCTTCTTCAAGGCGCCGGATGCGAGCCCCAGCCCCATGACGCTGGCGGCGAGCTTCCTCATCGATCCGGACAACGAGAACAAGGCCCACTCCAATCTCTTGGGCTCCTCGCAGGATCTGGGCGGCCATGGCCAGCAGCAGCAACAGCACATCGCGAGGGGCTCGAGCGGCGGCAACGGCAGCGGCAGCTTCGCGGAGAGATTGGCGGCGAGGGAGATGGAGGCGGGCGATAGATCGGCAGTGGCCCCTCTCGACATCGCCGCCTCCTCCTCCTCCTTCACAATTCCTCCCGGGATCAGCCCCACCACGCTCTTCGATTCGCCGCTCTTCGCGAGCAGCCAGGTATGATCTCTCGATCGAAATGCTTGCCTTGTTTGCTCGTTTCTCATCTCCAATCTCTCTTCCTCCAGGCGGAGCCATCGCCCACGACCGGATCCTTCCTCATGCCCCCGCCGGTCTTCGATGGCGGCGGCTCCAGGATGCAAAACCATCGCTCGCCGGAGGCCAAGGTGGAGAGCAATCCTTCCAGCGAGTTTGTTTTCAAGCCAATTGCGAGGCAGGGCTCGGATTCTTCGTCGCAATCCTTCCCCGGGGTAAGTTTCTTTGCTTGACTGGTTCCTCCCGGGCTTGGTTTGTTGACTGGCACACTCCCCGCCTTGACTGACCGCCTTGACCGTGTGCTCCTCCCTTTTATAGCTAGATTTTCTTTGACTCCGCTGGAGCTTTGTGTTCTAGAGTTTTGGATCACTCGCTCACTGGATTGTTTGATCCTTCCTTTGGCAGCTGCCTTTCGAATTCCACCGCTCGCAAGCGGCCCCCATGGCGGTGCCGCTGGGAGCCCAGACGATGATCCCGGCGGCGGAGTTTCAACGATCTCGCTCGAGGGCGGTGGCTCCAGCTCCATCCGAGATGGATGAACACCGCCGGCCAGAGCCCCAACAGCAGCAGCAGCAGCAAGTTTTCGTGGAGCGGCCATCCGAGGATGGATTCAACTGGAGAAAGTATGGGCAGAAGCAAGTCAAGGGGAGCGAGTTCCCGCGCAGCTACTACAAATGCACCAGCTCGGGCTGCCCCGTGAAGAAGAAAGTGGAGCGGTCGCAGGACGGACAGGTGACCGAGATCGTGTACAAGGGCGAGCACAATCACCCGCGGCCGCAAAAGAGCCGGAGGGGAGGTGGAGCCGGAGCTGGATCATCGTCTTCTCTTCTCGGCGACGATCGAAGCCCGGAGGATCTCTACGCTAGCGCCGCTGCCGCCAGGAACTCGGATGATCCATCGTCACCGCTCTCGTCAGGCGAGGACGACGGGCAGCAGGCCAAGAACGAGGACGGTGGCGATGACGACGTCGAGAGCGATTCCAAGAGAAGGTGGAACAAAAGTCTCTCTTGTTTGCGTTTCTCACAACTCCGTGATGCAACTGCAGGAGGATTGATAGCGGCGGCGGAGCGAGGGAGGCGGCGGCCGTCCAGCGGACGATCCGCGAGCCCCGGGTGGTGGTGCAAACGCCCAGCGAGATCGACATCCTCGACGACGGCTATCGGTGGAGAAAGTATGGGCAGAAGATCGTCAAGGGGAATCCATATCCGAGGTTCGTTTTCTTCTCCATTCGAAGTTCTCTTGTTCTCAAGGATCTTAGTTTTTCTAGTTCTTTAGTGGTTTCTCTTGCTTCTAGACTTCTATATGAACAAGCTTTCTTGTTCTTGGCAGGAGCTATTACAAATGCACCAACGTCGGGTGCCCCGTACGGAAGCACGTCGAGCGGGCGTCAAACGATCCAAAGTCCGTCATCACGACGTACGAGGGGAAGCACAACCACGACGTGCCGGCCGCCAAGAACAGTGGTGGCGGTGGCGGCGGCGGCGGTGGGCTTGACGGTGGCGGCGGCGGCAGTGGTGGCGGCGGCGGTGGCGGTGGCGGTAGCTTGCAATTTCAAGCTCTGCAGCAGCAGCAACACGGGAATCTGGGGATATCGGCGACGTCGATGCAAGACCAGATTGCGCAGTTTGCGAGGCAAGCGGGGCCATCGAGCAGGATGCAGCAGTTTGGAATGAGGCCCAAGGCGGAGCAAGGTGACGCTGCTTCGCTCCAGCCCTATGCAAGTACACATTTTGTATGTAATTGATTCTATCAATTCAACCATGATGCTTCGATCTAGAAAACCACAACCAGCATGAAAGTTTGAGCTGCTTAGTCAACGATGGTCAAAATGGTCAACGGCCATATGCTTTTGGTTGTCGACGGTCTCTTTGAATGGAGTATTCTCTCCACGGTATGGCCCGGGGCTCTTGGAACGGATTTTTGTGACGTCAAGCCCGCTCTGGAGGATGCGTTCCAAAGATTTGTCATCTCATCTCTTTGTATGCTTTTGATGCTGCCCTGACCAGGATGGATCGCGAACTTTATGATAAGACGCTATCGTTTGACTGGAGGGAGTTTAAAGTTTACCAGTATACCAGATTTATACTTTATACTGGCCAGAAGTTTCAAGCCCGTATATTTGTATTCGTGCAAGAGAGGCATGGCAATGAGACGCTCGATAGTTCCCGAGACCGAAGAGAGTATATTGTACGATTCCCACCAGGTAGTCTCTCGTTTTACTGTTCAGATCTGAACCCTTGTTATTTCCCAGGAACGCGTACAAGACGATGATGCCTATGCTTCAGAAACAATGTGGTATTTCCTCAACTATGACGACGCCTTTTTATGTGTGCTACAGACCCGTATAGATGCGGTGGTTTGTTTCAAACTGTTTTTTCTTTCTTGAATCTGAAAGCAAAAAATTGTTCTTTTAAACATCAGGGCTTGGTGAAATCAATGGTGGGGCGATATATGGATGAGAGCAAAATTATAGTAGTCATCACACTCAAGAATAATGCCATTGCCGGATTGTCCCAAAGGCCCGAAAATCCCTCGTTTGGAAGCCTTCAAGGATTGAAATTATATTTGTAGGAGTTTGGTTGATCAGGTTCATGTGTAAGTCTCTTAACAAGATTTTGCTTAACATCACTTTGGTTAACTCGTGTTCTGTTTCTGTTTCTGATAGGATCTTTCATTGTATGTTTTGCTTGCAGTGAATGGTATGCAGCGAACTCCAGAGCCACAAACATCTCCTTCATTCAGAACCCTTGTGGAGAGAGTACTGTATGCCGCATTTTTTCGTGAAAGCCTCCAGGATCTCCCTCTGGACAAAGTCAAGATCAAGAGCTGAAGCAATCGCAGGCCATGGCATTTAATGGAGAAAGTCGATCACCACACAGCAAAACATGGGACTCATGATCCGAGCAGAGATCATTTGGTGGCAGTTATTGTATGTGATTAACTTTATCTATTCGACCCGGTTTTCCAGTCAATTCTCCCCGAGTTATACTGTCCAGAAGCTTCAAGCTCGTGTTTTTGCATTGCCTGTTAAAGAGAGACATGCAATGAGACGCTCAAAAATTCCCCCCTGTTCTTTCCCAGGAACGCATGCTTCAGAACATATTTAGTCTTTCCTCAATCAAGTATCGCAAAACTTGTTCTTCTTAACATCAGGGCTTGGTGGAATCTATGGTGGGGTGATATATGGATTGGAGCAAATTATAGTCATCACTCTGCAGAAGCATGCGCATTGCCGGATTGTCCCAAGGGTCCAGCTGAAAAGAAGTCTCCAAGCATTGAACTTGATAAGCTTTCACAATTGCAGGACAAGAACTGTTCTTCCTGCAGAGGAGAGGTTCATGAGCACAGAGCGCCTGTCTTTTCTAAACGACACTTTGGTTACATCATGATGTTCTGATCCCCTGGGGTGAGCAAATCTTTCATCGTCTTATTAACTGTGCGCTTGCAGTGAATGTATGCCAAACTCCCGAGCCGCAAACATCGTACAAGTACCAAGGAGCAAAAGACCGCGAACAGAGATCATCAGCTCATCGTGACATAGCCACTACCACAGTAGGATCACACTCACTCAAAGCAGCACTCAATCAATGAGCCTTGAACTTAAAAACAGGAGAAGCGAACATCCTTAACGCAAACGAGGCATATATAACAAAAAATGATCGTGACTATCTACAGTGTTTCACCTCTTGTACTTAAACCGGACCTTTAGCAGGAACCTTAGCTGGATCTGCACAACGACAAGGGAAGAATTTAAGCACCCACAGAAGAAGCGCTAAGAAAAACTACAAACCTGTGAGGTACTGTACACAATGAACTCGTTGTACAGCAAGTCGCTGCGAACTTGAGACGGCACAGGACGCCCGCACGGGACAACGACTCCATCGTCAAACTCCTTGAATTCGCTGGGATCGGGCATTGTCCTCCCGACTCCTTTCGTGGCCATGTATCCAGCCGGAGGCTTCTCCATGTACTGATTGAAAGCGGGGCGTTAGAGAAGCTTTCCGCAGAGCCTGTTGCTTGAATAGATATATATACCTGTGCGTGTGTATACTCTTTAATGTCTCCAAGAGCAACCTCGGACAGTAGCATCAGCCCCACTGGATTGGACCTGTTCGTGAAGCAGTACTGCGCGCTCTTGCTCACCAGGTCCGCAAAGTACACACCTTTGCCAAACTACAAAAACGTGACAGATAAGAGCTAAATGAGTCGGTTTGGAATACTAGACAGTATACCATATAGCCAGTAGCCGGTGCTTCAGGGGGGGCTATCCGTAAGCCTTGGCTCAAAATTCCCACGAAGTTTGTAGTGCGTGAACCTTTTCATCACAAACAGGAGCCGTCAAGACAATGCCTCATTGAGGACAAACATACCGTGCCATAGCAGCATACGATTCTTAAGCGTTGATTTCATTGGAGCGTACAGATCGTGCTCTCCATCTCTACTGACAACAAAAACGTCCTCGACTTCCAGTCCCCATTCCTACAAAACCAACATTTCTCAGGCGATTGTCGAGACAGAAAGTGAAGTCCATACCGTATGCGTTGGTGCGTGAGTCCTTTCCAGGTAGTTCTTAACGAGCTCAAACTCGGGGCTATCATGTGGAACTGGCGAAACAGCGCACTTGAGCTTCTTGTAATGCACGTCCAGTGGATCCGACTCATCATCTTCATCCGCAGACTTAATGAGCTGCGACGCAATTTCAATGTCCCTCAATGCCTCAAGCATTTGAATCTGCAAACGAAAAAAGTTTAGCTTTAAGCTCCGGTGTTTGATGGTTAAGCTCACCTTCGTTTTCAGAACATCCTCGTCGTCTATTAGAGTGGGGTGAGTCGAAGGGATCAGAGTGTTGAATTGGTTGCTTCCGTCAATAAGTTCCACTTGACGCCGAGGATCTTGTTGCTCTCGTTTTAACACGTTTTGTATACGGGTGAGCACATCAAATCCTGAACGAAACAATAGATAAGAAATCTACGAACACCACAATCGTACCCTTTGCAATGTGCGCTTTGGTTAGTTTCCCAAGTGGCATTTCATTTGGATTAATTTCGAACTCCAGCATGGCGGACCTTCAAAGAGCAAACACAGTAACTAAAAAAAGCACGAGTAAAAGCAGAAGACTTACTTGTATGTCTCAATGTCAAAGAGCATCTTCATCAAGTTGACAACCCTCGGATGAAGGTTGCTCTTTGATCCAGGAACAGCAGCTAACTCTTTCTGAGGTGCTTCATCAGCTCCATAGTCCTGCAACACACGAGCTAAATCAAAAACGAAAAGAGAGAGAGAGAAAAAAAGACAGGTTCTTACGATTTCTACGGGATAATATTTTCCTGGGACTTTCTGAAACCCCGTCTTTCGCACCCATGAGTGCCATTCATTCCCCGTCTTATCCAGAAATCCCTTCTCGAACTCTTCTATGGCCCCTTGTTTTGAGAAAGCCTCCAGTTTCGTGTGCCCCCTCTCAGAAGCAACACGACCCCATTTTCGAAAGACATAGCAAGCATTTCCCTTGTCTTCTTCGATAATTTGGAGCACGTAACAACTGTAAAGTCATATCTCAAGTCAGGATCATCACAAAACATAGAAAGATGCACCTGTTTCTTCCAGTCGAGATGTCAGACTTATTCAAAGTCACAGAATATATCACGCTCCCGGATTCCAAAACGTGGCCTTTATCTTGCATTTCGGAGTCTTCATGCACGGCACTCCGACCTTTGACTTTCACTTTCGTCATTGCAGTACTCGTACGCGAAGATTCAAGTCGATAGTCTTTGAGCGGCAATCGCTTTTTCATCTTCATGCATTCCGTTAAATATCTCTCCCCCACAGCCGGAATTCTGAGTTGTCTGCGAGTTAAACTTGTAAGATTCCAATCTTCCAACCCTTGCGCACCTTAGGCTTTCGTCCTTAAAAAATTCCGCTTCGGTAGAAATTATAGCGGTGACGCCTACGCGATTAGATGAGCGTTAGTACTTCAAACACCTCACCTCAGTTGAAAGCTATGCCTCACCTGGATCCATGGTCTTGTGAACAACACCTTTTGCCTCTTCTATGAGTGCCTTCCACTCATCCTGCATTACTAGCATTTTCAGGAAAATGTTGACCACAGAAAGTACAAACCTGAGTTTTTTCCTGCATGGCTCCGAAAAAGAAAACATGAAGTCCCCGGAGGAAATGCGCTTCAGAATTGAGATTTTTAGTAGACGGCCTCAGCAGCCGTGGTTCTTTTGGTGTCTTCTGGGTTTTGTTCCACTGCGGTAAAACGCGAGGTCAGAACACAATACAACTTAAACATAAACAAAATAGACTAGCCTGTCTGAGGAATGGATTTGTCGAGCCTTTGGGAATCTTCCATTTCGCTTGACGCTGGACTTCTGATGTCTTGAAGTTACATCTGCTCCACTCTGAAAGGTGGCCTTGGCAGGAGTACATTCCTCCTGAGTAAAGCAGAGGGCCGCCACACTGCGGACAAGGTTTGAAAGGTCCAAACATCATCCCATCGGCACTGCAAGAAGCACAAAGTTAAATCAACTCGATGCCGTCTAAGACGTACCAGCGCTCGCGAATCTCTTTGTCCGATTTAGACATGGCTCCGTTGTTGATCTCAAGCATCTCTTTCATTTCATCAAGTGAGACGTTCCTTTCCAAGTCATCCTGAAGAGTCCAGAGTGCCTTTGTCTGTTGCTCCATTTTCTTCTCAAAGTCGTCTGACACTTTTTGCTTCTTCTTTGAGCTTTGATCATCACCGGACGCTTCCAACTGCCGCTTTGCCTTCTTCTCTTCCTGTAGCTTCTCCTGTTCCTCTTCCTTCTCTTCTTTGATTTCTTCCTTGTTTTCTGTTAAGACTGGTCTTAAACACTAATACGAAAGTTGAAACAAGAGGCTACCTTGTGTGAGTTTTAGGAAAGGCTCAACAGCGTCGTGAACGACCTTCTGCTCCGACTCATCAAGCGTGTCCCATCCGTCAAGCTCCTCGATGGGCTGATCCCAGGAAAAAAATTCCACGAAGCACTTGGCATGCCTGAAGGTCGGACTCCTGTACTTCTCATTCTCCACAGTGGAAATGCGAGCCTACACACAGCACTGCACAAATTTAGCGTTGCCAAGGAGCATCTACAAAAGCTTACCTCTCCTTTTACTAGCTTCTCCTTGCAAACTCGGCATATCGCTCGAGAAGCCTTGGCAATCTCGATGGTGTGTTCAAAGCTCGATGTCTCCTCTTCTTGTTCTATCTTCTGTTTCCCTTTCTCTTTCGTTCCTTTCTTCTTGCTCTTACTCGGCAAATCCTCCGCAGGCGCTGCCGCCTCCTCGACTTCTTCCTCATTATCTTCCAGCGCTCCTGCTTCATCACCTTCGATGTACTTCCGCAGTTTCTTCTGATCTCCCCAGCGCAAGTTATCGAATCCGTCCACATCCTCTATCCTGAGCAATCCAAAAGAAAAAAGGAGAAAGGAAGCTCAAACCTTTCCGCAATCTAAAAAACAAACGTACGACGAGATGGTGTTCTTCTTCCTCGCGATGCATGAGTAGTGGTGCCAAACCTACATTCTCCAAGGATGAGCTAGAAAAAACCAAGAACAAGCACTTACAGGGATCCATCCGTCAAATTTTGGCGATTCAACCATCCTCCCAAGGCGCAGCTCATCCTTGTCGATCTTATCGTGGCAGGCGCCGCAGGCTGCGCGCGATGATTTGGCGTACTCCGCCCTCCATGGATGATCCGGCTCCATCGCCCGGAGCTCCCAAAATAAATTCAAACACACACTTCCCCTAGAACCCTAAAAGCTGTGTAGAATTAAAATGCCGTACTCTAGCTACCGTACAAGGCCAAAAAAGCATAGAGTGACGTGGAGCTTGCGTGGCATGTCCAATCAGCATCTTGCCCCCTCAGCATGTCATAACGGCTTATCATGCGCCGGACGCCATGGCCCCCACTCCATTTCAGTTGAATGCCTCATAATCATGCTATAGTATATCCTCGTCCCGGCTATGGCGTCCAGCGGGCGGGCGGGCAAGGGCGCGACGGGGGTGGAGGTCGGCGGCGATCGATGCCGTGCCAATGCGAATGCCGCGCGCTCTCGGCCGCGGCGCCGCAGATCCAGCGCGCGATTCCACCAGGTTTGAGGTAGTCTGCCGTGCGTGATCCGGAGGGGGTTTTAGAGCTCCGCGGAGGTAGCATTCTTGGCTCCTGGGGCTCGACGATGGCTAGCGGTAGCAGCGATAGTTGGAAATCCATGCAGGGAAAGGGAACGTGAAGTTCTTTATCAAAATCACTGGGGATGGGGGAAAACCTTGCCAAATCTTCGTGTTGGTGGACACACATTCGCGCAGCGACGCTGTAGAAGAGAAGATCGTCGTCATCGAGCTCTTGGGATTTTTGTATGCGAATTCAAGCGAGCGAAAGGGACATGGGTGACCAATTTCCGGCCGGATTGCGGGTGTTGGTTGTGGATGACGACAGAACTTGCCTAGCAATTCTTAAGAAGATGCTGCTTCGTTGCGCCTACGATGGTACGTTCGAACTTTTTTTTCTTCCTTTCGCTTTCTATCTTACACTGGCTTTGCTTTTTCTTGTGCTCTGCTCACTGTAGTGACCACTTGCGGCATGGCACGCCTGGCACTTGCGATGCTTAGAGAAAACAAGGAGCGCTTCGATGTGGTACTTAGTGATGTCTGCATGCCGGACATGGACGGGTTCAAGCTTCTTGAGCTTGTTGGGCTTGAGATGGATCTTCCGGTCATAAGTAAGTTTGGCTTTTGCCTTTAAAAGTTCTTACGTTTTTTGGCTTTGCTCCGCAGTGATGTCTGCGAATGGCGAGACGAGCCTCGTCATGAAAGGGATTATACATGGTGCGTGCGATTACCTTCTCAAACCAATCCGGATCAAAGAGCTCAAAAACATCTGGCAACATGTCTTTCGGAGGAAGAGGAACATCCTCAAGGACGCTGACGGTGCCGACCATGACAGACAGAAGCGCAAGCCTGACGAGGGAGATTCGATGCCAGCGGCAGGATCTGCTGCAGCGGCAGGCTCTAAGAAGCGGAAAGAAATAAAAGAAGATGACGACGAGTTTGAGCTCGACATGGACGACTCGAACACGCTTAAAAAGCCAAGGGTGGTCTGGTCCGTGGAGTTGCATCAACAGTTCGTTACGGCTGTCAATCAACTAGGAATAGACAGTACGTACATATTTTTTTGTTTTTGGTTTCCTTGTCTTGTTCTAAACCCCGTATTGTTGATAGAAGCTGTGCCTAAGAGGATCTTGGAACTGATGAATGTTCAAGGCCTGACGAGGGAGAATGTTGCTAGCCATCTCCAGGTGAGCTCTCACTCTTTTGCGGTTTTATATTTTTCCTTGAGTGACTCTTCCTACCGCAGAAGTACAGACTCTATTTGAAGCGGCTGAGCGTGGCACAACAGCAAAATGCCGTCACAATGAGCATGCCGCTCGGCTCGGACCCGTCTTACAACGCAATCGACAACTTGCAACCTCATCCCATCATCACGCCAGGATCTTCTCAAGCTCTGGCGGCTCTTCGCTCCGTCTACCTCCGGACGCTTTGCTCGTCCAATGATCCCGCAGCGACAAACGGTGTTGTCGATCCACCAGTCCTCGTCGTCCGGCCCCGCAGCATCCCACCAAACAACCAAAGAGGCCTTTTGCTGGGTGTCGGTGATATGGAGCAGCTCCAACAATCACAGGTTCCACAGATGAGACCCGTGCAAGAAGGAATCCTCGCGACTTCGGCTTCGCAGTCCAATCCTTTGACAGAGCAAATAATTCAGCAACAGCAACAGCAGCACACACAGATACAACTTCTGCAGCCTTACAACCAAAAGCAAGACAGCTACATAGACTATTCACATTACAGCAAAGACACTGGCGACATCGGCACGCGAGGCACCACCTTGGACGATGGTATCATCGGCAGGGGCTTCGGTGGAAGCATTGTCGCGTCTGCAACAGGGGACGGGATCTCGGTTTTGATGAACAGCGGTTTGGCAAAGCCAAACATTCCAGGCATGAACACTGGCATAGTTAAGTGCGAGGAGGCCGACTCTCTAGGCAGCTGGGAGGGAGGCTCGTCGGCAGCATTTGGGATAGCAAGCCAAATAAGCTGGCAGGGACAGCAGCAGCAGCAGCAGCAGCAGCAAGAGCAGCAGGGATCGCAAGAGTTCATCCACGACACTCTAGTTCCATACGGCAGCTCGGGGACTGGGGATTGTCACGAGTATCTGGGAATGATGAATTGCCCCCGGATTATCTCAAACAGCTCTGGCTCTTACAAAGTGAAGCAGGAGGAATACGACTCCGCGCCGAATCAGTTCCCGCAAGCGCACCACGCGCAGGATGAGCTAGTCGGCTTACAACCCTACAAACAGGTCTGGATGTTCTTCTCCTTTGTCTCTTTCCATGCGATGGTTTTCATGTTTTGTTTCTCCTCCAGGAGCAAGAGCATGGTTTTTTTGAGAACGACTTGTGCCTGGACGGATATATCCCAGGAAGCAACTTATATGTGAAATAACATCACAATCGTTTTACTTGCCTTGAGGTACCTCTCACGTTTGGATACTTTTCTTTTTTTTTTTTTGGTTTCGGTGGATTTGCAAGATTTGTACGTTCAACTCCAAATGCGGTACAACACAACACTCGAGAGAAGTTTTCCACCCAATCTTTGCGTGACGAAAGGACAAAGGTTCTTGAGATGACTAGTACTTGGATTTTGATGATTCATCCAGCCCATTGTCTTCCGTACGAAGATTTCACGAATCACTTTCCCCAGCGAAAGTGAAGGTAGAAGAATATTTTTCATTTCCTTCCTTTTACGCGCCTTAAAACCACTCGGTGTGGAAGTCTCCTCACTCGCAGCTTTAAATTCCTCTCTTTTATTCGTCATTTCGAGCAAAGAAAAAAGAGCGTAGTTATCCGATTCCAGCAAGACGACGACGAAGAAGCTTTCTTCCACAAAAGGAAGAAAAATACCAAAGGAAAGACTGACCCGACAAACTGACTCGAACGAATATACAATGCTTTCTCTTTTCCTTGATGACCGGCGAGCTCCAAGCTCTCTCTTGCGAATAAAAAAAAAGAGAGCCCAGCGCCCGGCCAAATCCCTGAAGAGCTTCTCCCCCAAGAACACCACCACCAAGCACCGCCACCTTCAATCCCAAAACCATCAAAAACATCGTCGTATGTACGTAAAGAACCACCAGTGTGACAAACTTAGCTGCTTCTTGATCGCCCAACGGAGCTCCTCCTCGATCAACACAGTCGTAGCTCCGAATCCTCGATCCGTCAATGCCGGCGCCACTGTCAACTCTCTCGAATCTCTGGGAAACTGAAGTCGTTGCCAGTGGAGGAGGCGGCGGTGGCGGCAGTCTTCCTGGCGTTCTCGGGGGAGTCGATCATCTTGACTTCCGGGAAGAGCTCGGGCACCGGGAGACCCGGGCTGGGGAGGCCGAGGCAGCCTTGGAACGTCGGCGACCACGGGAAGCGGCTCCCGGCAAAGCCACTCCCCTTGCTGCTGCCATCGATGATCGACTGCGCGAGCTGCTTCATGGCGGCGGTGTTGGGCGACTCGAAGCTGGCCCAGGCGGTGTCGCTGGGCGAGAGCACGGGCAGCGGCGAGAAGGAGAGCAGCGGCATTGTCGACACGCGCTTGTTGGAGAGCGGCGACAGCGGCTGGGCTCCGGGGGACGTCAAGTTCTCGGACGTAACGACGTTGGAGGTGGCGGCGGAGTGGCCGGCGGTGGCGGCGTGAATTTCTCCGCTGGAAGGCCCGCTAAGCTGCTGCTGCTGGTGCTGCTGCTGGTGCTGCGCCAGCTTGTGGGCGAACGGGGAGATCGAGAATGTGGGACGTAGCGGCGGAGGTGCCATCCTTTGCAACCGGCTGTTGACCGGCCTGGCGCTCGAGTGAGGAGAAAGAACTCCTCCTCCAGTTCCTGGGCTAGAAACAAGCGCCGCTGGATCCGACACCACCACCAAGCTTGGCTGCTGCTGATGTTGCTGCTGCTGTTGGTAGTGGTGGTGATGGTATTGCTGCTGCGAAGAAACTCCCATCATCCCTGGATTCATGGCCTGCTCGGAGAACCCAGTGGAAGTTTGCTGCTGGAGAGATCCTCCTCCTCCGCCGCCAGCGCCGACATCACTACCACCGCCACCGCCACCACCGCCACTAGTTCCAGTGGAACTATTCCCCGTGAGCTGTTGGACCAGCTCTCGGAAGCTCATGGGGTCCGTGTTATAGACCTTGGAAGTGGGCAGCGGCTTGGAGGGCTGGAGCATCGGCCGCCTCATCGACGACGATGAACTCTTGGAGATTTTGCTCCCCGACGACTTGTTGATCGACAGCGGTGCTGCCGTCTTGGCCTTGGCCGCCGCCTCGCACTCGTCTATGTCCATTGCGATGGCCGTTGCCATGGAAATAGCTCCCTCGTTCTTGTTCTTTCTACTCCTCCTTCCCTAGCTCGCTTTCTAAGACCGGGGTCCCCGAAATCCTAGCACGCTTACCGATTTCCTGGCCCTCCTCCGGGGATTTCGCAGATCTCCGCTGCTGACCGCGATCACAAGCCCTTTGACCGGCCCTGGATCGCGAATTCCTGCGCAATGCAGCGGCGGGAGGAGCAGGAGGAGCCATCCGATTGCCAGAGGCGCCGCAGCCGCGGCGAGTGCGCCATAGCCACAATCTCGAGACCTCCTTCTCAACTCGCTCCAAATAAACTAAAGGTAGCCTAAAGGGTTAAAGCAATGGAGATCATGGATTATAGTTCCATTTTGTCCCCTTGACGCGTGTCACCCTTTTATTGGCTTTACTTAGGGTTGTTAAATTTCCCCAATGCATATGCGAAGAAATACACAAACAAACAAGCACTTTGCCCATGGGAACTCTGGTTGATAATAAATTCTTGGGTGCTAGCAACGTGGATGGAGTTGGATCGGGCCAAAGGACCACCAAATGCCTTGACAGGGCAGGTGGACCATATAGTATCCGCGAAAATAAAATTTAAAAAGGAGCCCTCGTCGCTGTGCTTGATCTAGAAATCATTGGCCCAGTAGTGACAGTGGCTGTAAAAGTTTGATGGAACAAGCCTCCACTTCCACCCATACATCGATCGAATCGAGGATCATCTCACCCTATGGAATGAAAAAGTATCTGCCATTTGGAGCTGTTGTCTCGGTGGTCCCGTGATCCACGGCGATGATTCCTTAGAACACGGAGACCGGCTGGGAGCTTTGGACTACCGATGCCAGGGAAACGTAGACCGATCCATCCAAGGCGTTCAATCCGAGGATTTGCTTTGCCGCCCCGGCGCTGTACCGGGGATTCTTCTGCTTCTTGCACGTCTCGAGAAAGCAGCGCCACTGGAGAAGATCCGGCTCGAAGGGCATGTTGGCGATGAGATCTCGGGCAGCGTCGGCGTGCCCGGCCCGGCCGAGGAGATTGATCACGCAGCCGAAGTGGATCCTCTTGGCCGGGGTCCCGAAATCCGCCACCATCGACACGAAGAGAGACTGGCCAATGCCAACGTCGCCCGCGTAGCACGACGCGAGGAGCGCGATGATCCAGCTCGTTTCGTCCGGGGTCTCGAGGATCTTCATGGAGTCGAAGAGGGAGAAGGCATCGCTGGAGCAGCCGCTGTTTGTGTAGCTGGCGAGCATTGCGTTCCAGGATCCGATGCACGGGCTCGGCATTCGATCGAAGAACAGCCTCGCTCGATCAAGATGCCCGTTCTGGGCATAAGCGGAGAGCATGGCAGTCCACGAAATGCTGCTTTTCTCGGGAATTCTCTCGAAAGTTTCCATGGCTTCTCTCAAACACCGATTTTGGGCGAACGCAGTGAGGATTGTATTCCACGAAACTGTGTTCCACTCAGGAGCGTTTCGAAACAAGAAACTAGCCTCTTCCAAATGCCCAGACTTGGCATTTGCAGCGATCATCGCGTTCCACGCCACGATGTTCTTCTCGGGCATAGCAGCGAACACTTTCGTCGCGCTTCTAAGTTGCGAGGATTGGATGTAGGCCGTTATGATCGTATTCCACGAAACGGAGCTCCATTCTTGCATGGAATCGAACAGTTCCTTCGCTTTGTCACAATGCCCGTTCTGGGCATACCCCGAGAGAAGCGCGTTGGATGATATGAGATTTCTCTCGGGCATTTGATCAAAAACAAGTCTTGCACGAGCGATGTCGCCGCTCTGGGCAAACGCCGCCAACATCGCGGTGTTTAGAACGATGGTGTGTAGTGGGATAGATTCGAACAAGCGCCGTGCTTCGTCCAAATGCCCGCTCTGGGCATAAACCCTAATCATCGCCGTCGACGACGCTATGTCCCGCTCCGGGAGGCTCCGGAATAGATCCCTCGCCTCTTCCACGAGGCGGGCACTGCCCACCTCCGCGATCGCTACCAGCATCGCAGTGCACGAGATGAGATTCCTCTCGGGCATCCCCGCGAAGATCCTGGCGGCATCGCTGAGGTTGCCATGGTGCGCGAATGCGAAGAGGAAGACACTCCAGGCCTGGATGTCTCGCTCCAACATCGCGCGGAAAATCTCCACGGCGTCGTCGAGGAGGCCGATCTGGGCCAATTCGCCCAGCATCGCGGTGGAGGAGACGAGATCCCACTCAGGCATCGAGTGGAAGATGCGCTGCGCGTCGGCGAAATGCCGGAGCTGGGCATTCGCGATCATCGCCGTCGTGTAGGAGACGAGGCTCCACTGCGGCATTATGGGGAAGAACCGGGCGGCGTCGTCAAAGAGGGCATTGCGCGAGTAGGCCGCGAGCATGAAATCCCAGGAGTAGGAGTCCTTAAGAGGCAGCGAATCGAAGATCTCGCGAGCGGAGGACGCGCTGCCGCATCGCCCATACATCTCGATCAGCTTGTTCCACGCGAAAACATCGCGGACCGAAAAATGCGCGCGCGCACGGGTGTGGATCGCCTGCGCCGCGGGCAGGCTCGTGCACGACCGCATCAGCGCGAGGCATTCCCTGCGATCCATCGAACGAATTCATCGCTCGAGACCACGAAGAACCCTAAAATCAGGCATTTGTAGCATATCCGCGCCCGTGGATCGGACGGGTAGCGGTAGTTGGATCGGACGGCTGTCCGTGCCGTGCATTCCAAGGGAAGAACAAAAGCACTGGCGCTGCGTGGAGTTTTCCTCCGTTGCTGTGGCCGCCACTGGCGGCGAGGAGGCGGAGCGAACGACGCGCTCTCCAATCATCCAGGTAGCGCAGCCGGCAAAGGATTTCCAAGCACAGATCTAGCTCCAGCACGCTTTCCTAGGGTATTTTCCTCCTTTCTAGGGCTATGGCGGGGGAATTTTGCTAGGCGGGCGAGCGGAGGCGAGGATGGGCGACGTCAAGGGGCCTCGCAGCAGCAAATCCAAGGAGGGGGATCACAGGGATCCATACGATGTTCTCGGCGTCCCAAGAAATGCCACGGATCAGCAGATTAAGGCCGCGTACCGGAAGATGGCTCTCAAGTAAGTTCTTGCCTCTGGTTTGCTTCTTTATGTTTTGATCTTTCCTTAGCTCTTCCATCCGTGACACAGGCTCCATCCAGATAAGAACGCTGATAATCCAGAGGCCGCGGAGCTCTTCAAGGAAGTAGCCTTCTCTTACAGCATACTCTCGGACGTTGAGAAGAGGCGCCAGTATGACGCTGCCGGTTTCCAGGTGAGAATTTTCACTAGCTACGACTTCTTCTCTTTGGTGTTTTTTTTCTATTGCAAGGTTGAAAGTCTAGCTTTCTAACATTATCGCTACAGGCCGTGGAGCTTGACGGGCTTGAGGTGGACTTGTCGAATCTGGGAACTGTCAACACCATGTTTGCTGCGATTTTCAGGTGTGTGCCGTCCTGGATTGTGGAAAAAAAAGTATCAGCTTTGAGGTGGTGGGGATTTTGAATTTGGTTGTTTCTTTCGTTCGTTTTCTTGCAGCAAGTTGGGCGTCCCGATCAAGACGTCGATCTCACCGACTGTTTTGGAGGAAGCGCTCAATGAATCGGTTCAAATCAGACCGCTTTCTCTCGGCCAAGCTGTTCATGACAAGGTATATTTCTGTCGTTCCCGAAGATGATTGTTGACACGAGCTCATATCCAGGTGGAGAAGCAAGGAGCACACTTTTACGGTGTGTATCTCACGGATGCCCAAGCCGCGTCGGGACTTGTTGTTCGTGTCTATTCCACAGCTCAAAGCAAGTTTAAGGTGCTTGTTCGTGGATTTTAAATTTCCAGCACTAACTTTACTTTGCGTAGCTTTTGTATTTTGAGCCGGAGGAGAACGGGGGCCTCGGCCTGGCTCTTCAGGTCTTTTGAAGTTTTTCTTAGCAATTTGCAATGTTCATTTGTATCGTTTCAGGAAGATAGCACAAAGACTGGCAAGGTGACATCCGCTGGCATGTATTTTCTTCATTTCCAAGTGTACAGATTGGATACAACAATGAATGCGGTACGTAGCTTGCTTTCTTTCCTTTTCTTGTACTTAATGCACGCACTCTTTTTATTAGTTGGCAATGGCAAGGGATCCTGATACTGCATTCTTCAGGAGATTGGAAGGGCTTCAACCATGCGAAGTTTTGGGATTGAGAGCCGGTTCACACGTTTTTGCCGTGTATGGTAGGCTGATGTGCCTTTTCTCGTCACTTTCGGGTTCGTGAATCCCTCGTGCATGCAGGTGACAATTTTTTCAAGAGTGCCAGTTACACCATCGAGGCAGTTTGCGCCGATTCGTTTAAAGAGAACGCAGTGCAACTCCAGGAAATCGAGGACCAGATAATGGTGAAAAGGAACGAGCTACGCGATTTTGAAGCCGAGTACCGCGAGGTAGCTCTTTGTTTTTGTGGTTGGCTCGCGCTTAGATTACGTTCCTTTGTGCAGGCTTTGAACAGATTTACCGCAGTAACGCAAAAGTATGGGGCTGAAAAAAGCGCTGTAAGTTTCCATAGTTCCTGCAGAGTTTTTTCCTCTGACGAGCGATCAACGCGCAGGTTGACATTCTCCTGAAGAACCGCGACAAAATCCACGCTTCGTTCTCGACTTCCAAGAAGCACGGAGCATCGAGCCACAAAGTGAACATGGAAGAAAGCAATGGCAAGGACGAGAACTCGTCGTCGGCCACGGCATCGCCAGCGCGAGAAAAGGATAAAGACACAGACAAAGACACCACCACTACTGGAAAGGAGAAATCAAAGAAAAAATGGTTTGGATTCAAGGACAAGAGATCGTCGGTGTAGAAAACAAATTACTATTCAGAAAGCGCGAGAAGAAGATAAGCATTGTATTGATTGATTGGAGCAAATATTTTTACATCGTTTGGTCAAAAGATTTGGGAATCTATTGCCAGTACAATCTTGCCACGTTGCGGATATGACGATCGCCACGAGGATAGCTCTTTGGGCCCCACGTGTATGGTGAGATGGAAGGACTTTTACCAGAGGTATATATTTTAGGGCTCCTCCCGCGAGATTTTATCTCTGGGGACAGCATTCTCGGATTCCAGGGCTCTTTCTCGTCCATTCGCTGCTGGCGCTGGAAGAATGCGGCAGTCTAGGCGGTGAGCGATAGATTTCGGGATAGATTTGATCGAGAGGGGATTCAGGTCGGTGGCAGGCGATGTCTTCCTTGGGGAAGATCATCAAGGACGACAAGCACCCGCTATGGCTGATCGATGCTATCATTCTCTCTGCCGCGGTCTATAGCAAGGACCCTGAGGAGGAGCTTCGTGCAATGAACGAGGCGTATGGCCTCCCTCCCTCCGCGCAGTACGAGTTCGTGCCCGAGGAGGAGCTGCGGGAAGCCGGGTTTGAGAATTGCCGGCAGACGCTCGTCGTGGTGAGGAGCTTGACCGGGAAGCACGTCATTGCAGCGTTCCGGGGTACGTTCGATGTGAGCGACGCGCTCACGGATCTCAAGTTTATCCATCGCACGCTCAGCCTCGGCCCCGGCGCCGCGCATGCTGGGTTTTTGGACAGGGCCAAGACTATTCCACTGGACTACTTCCGGAGGTTGCTTATTCGAGGCGAGAACTTGGTGCTGGCCGGGCATTCCTTGGGTGGCGCTGTCGCCTCGCTGCTGGGATTGCGTCTGCTGGAGGCCACCGGACGATGGTGTCACCAACAGGTACTCTACTCTGCCAAAGTTTCTCTTTTTTTTTTCTTTGGTGGTTCTTGGTTTTCTACTAAGTGGTTTTTGTGATCAATCGTTGCTTAGCTTGTTTCTTTTCGCGGTTTTGTTTGATCTTCGTTGGGTCTTATTTTCTGCTTCGTGGTTTCGGTTTTGTTTGATCAATGGTTCTTTAGCTTGTTTCCATTCGTTTTTTCGATGTGGTTTTGTTTTATCAATCTTTCTTCCGTTGGGTCTTAGTTTCTACTTCGTGGTTTTGGTTTTGTATGATCAATGGCTCTTAGCTTGTTTCTTCTCGTTTTTCGTAGTTTCGACACGTCACTTCTTCTTTTTGTTACTGTATCCTGTGTGGATAGTCCTTACACTTTTTGCTTTTCTCCTTCGCTTGTCCGTTTTCTACTCGTCTGCCTGTTGTTCCTGCCGGTCTTTTTGTTCTCTTTCAACGATACTCTCCTGCTGCTGCCTCACACACTTTGTGTCTTGTCCTTGTACAGCTCCAGTGTTATACGTTCGGGTGTCCGTTCTTCGCCGACTACAGCCTCGCGAGGCACATCAACGTGAACTACAAGCGCCACTTTGTGCACATTGTTTCTCGTGACGACATCGTGCCCAAGGTGATGCCAGTGGCTTACATGATCTACTCAATGTGGGCAGGCTTGCAAGCTGGTCCTCTCCAGGAAGTCATGCATCTCGGCAACCTGGCGTTTATGGCAGGCCAACTTGTAATGCGGCGTAAGAACTACAAAGTGAGGATCTTCACAGTCTGTGCGCAAGCCATAGCGTGGTTCCCTGGCCTGTTGCGGATCGTACTTCACCGAGCTCTGGCGCTTGCACTGTCGCACCAGTCAGGATATGGATACTACTTTGCCGGGAAGATGGTACTTCTGGATCCCGACAAAAGCGCCGTGGAGTATGTCGATCAGGATTGCTGGACGGTCAGGCACCACCTCAACTTCCACTTGGGCGCGATCAACGTCGACGTTGTGAAGGGCCACAGCCTTTTGAGCTACATCGACAACGTCTTTGCGATCCAGTCCACCGAGATCGCTGCGGCCTCTGCCACGCTGCAAAAGCCAAACGGTTCCAAGGTGGAGGTGTGCACAGCGTCGCTCAACATGCAGTTGTACAGTAAAAGCTCCTCCAGCTCCAGCTCGGTGCCCGTGAAGAGGAAGTCGCTGTGCATGATGGACACACTCGAGGAGGTGAGCGATGAGTCGTCGTCGTCGTCGTCGGAGCAGGAGCCGCAGGAGCGGCATTATCGCCATTACGTGAAGACTCGCGTAGGGACCTCTCAAACGGGGCCGGGGGAAGGCATTCCCAGGCTGCTGCAACGGACCAAGACGGGGCAGAAGAAACAGAAGCACGCCAAGAGGGCCTTCAGGAGCAAGGTGGCGTGCCTCATCTTCGCGAGACGCATTCAAGAGGCGTCGTCCACCGCATACATACGGCGACAGGAGAGAAGGCGACCGTTCATGCGGTTTCTCGTCATCAACCTGGGGAGAGTGTCGAGATTCGCGCACCAGTTCGATTTCCTCTTCGTCTGCTCCTCCTTGTTCTACGTTGGCGTCCAAGTCCACAAGCTGTGGAGAGGCAAATGAGCTTTTCCTCTCTTGGTTTCCTGGTAAGCAGTAGCTCTTTTCTCCGTCGAAGATGTTTTGTTTGTTCTTCTAACAGCGTTTCTCTCGCCTCCAGACTTTGACGCAACACAATTTTCTCGCTTAGACTAAGGTACGTGGTTATCAGCGAAGATGGATTATCGCCTAACAATTCCGTGCCTCTGTACCAGGTCACAATCCATTTGATTAGTTTCGAAGTTGGCCGCAGAGCAAAACAGAAAAAATGCCAGTTTGGAGGGGTGCTGGCTGAGTAAAGATGAGAGCCCTGACTCTCACACACTATAAATGTGACGAGAGAGGGGGGGAGGAGGAGGAGGAGGAGGCTGGCTCAATCAAAATCAAGCACACCACAAGCACTGGCCGCGGCTGCGCACACAAGGACAAAGGCCCGCCGCAGACGAAAAAAGCGTCGAAACGACGACCCCATTTTCGGCTCCACGGCGGCCCAGCAGGGAAATGGAGGCCCGCGCCTCTGCTGCAACTCTGTGCTTCTTCCTGGCGAGATCTCGACAAAAACAAATATCAAGACGTGCTTGCTCTTCGCGCCAGGTTCTCTCATTCCAAGCACACACTAGCTTACGCATCTCTTTCTTTCCTTTCCCAGTCACAGTACGTGGGCCAGTTTAGTTTGCTTGCTCTTTAACGATTGTATGGCCTTACTCTTTTGTATCCATTCTCTCCAGTGATCTCGCTCGAGCCATAGGCTCGTCAAGAGTAAACACGAGGACAAAGAAAAGGATTAAGAGCGAATGGATACACTACTTAAATGCCGCAATAAAAAAAACAAACTGGAGAAACCAGATTAAAGCCAAAAAGAGAGAAGATTCGTGGAGTACAACGCACTGCTCTTTTGCTTTCCAAGCATATGCATATAACCTCCATGGAGAAATGATACCGCAAGTTTGTTTCCCTTTCCTACCACTGCTGCCGCTTGATTCACTGCGAAGTTAAAAAGGAGAAAAAGAATATATAATCTTCCATGCCTTCTTCTTCTTCGATCGTTAAGTTCGTAAGTTTCGTTGTGTGTGTGTCTGTGTGTTTGTGTCCAGCCAAGCTATTGTCTTCTCTAAAAAAACAGTCCCGCAAACCAATTGTCAGAGAGAATTAGACCACTGCGTGCGCTTGCCTTGCGCTCTTCCGGAGGAGAAGGAACAGCCCCCCAGCGCAGGCCCCCCTGCCCCTGTGTTCCCAGTCCCCCAATCCAATCACCCGTTCGGCAGCGGTATGTTGATATCTGTGTCACGCCGCGGCTCCGCGAGCGTCTGGCTACTCGACCATCCTCCTAAGCTGCCCATCCCCTGGACCGAGTGCTGTGAGTGCTGTGAGTGCTGCGAGTGCTGCAACAGGCTGCCTCCACCACCGACGCCTCCACCACCGCCACCGCCACCGCCACCACCACCGCCACCACCAGGACCACCACCAGCGCCGCTGCTCTGCTGTTCCATGTGAGGACTATCCGGGCTCCTCGCCCCTGACTCGTTCTTGGTTGGCCTCTGCATGGATCCGGAGGCGGAGGCGCCCTGCGGGCTGTCCATGGCCCGCAATGGCACAGACTTGCGCGTGTCCGCAATGAAGCTCCCTACAACCACCTGCAAGGGAGTGAGAAAGGCAGAGAGAGAGAGAGAGAGAGCGAGAGCGAGAGCAATGAGAAAGAAAAGAAACAGCTATCCATATCCATCAGGTTCAAGCCTCTTTAAGCACACACAGCACACAGGGAGCAGTAGCCGCCATTAAATGAGAGAGAACTACTACTAACCTGAACGGGAGTGGCAGCCATGAGAAGCCCGGCGACTCCACCGCCAACGACGCGTCCATCTGGTCCGGCCAGGGACACGCTCAGACCGCCTGTTCTGCTTCGCGTGCCCCCGCTTTCGGTGAGGAGGAAAGATCCTGACAGGGAGAGGATCTCGAAACGACCCTGCAACACCTCCCAATTTGGAACTTCGGAATTGGCAATCGCAAAACAAGCGAGAGATGAACAGCGAAGTAGCTCACTCACCTCGTACGTCACAGTGCCACCAGAAGTAGCCGGTTGACGAAGCGTAACATTTGAAATGGCACCGTTGGCGGACAGAACACAGACTGCCCGGGGTCCAGTTTGCGAGAAAGACATGATTTTGGTGGCAACATCCTGGAGCAAAAAGAAAAAACGAAAAAAATAAAAAAAAGTCAAGCTTAGATTTCGGATAGAGAGAGAGATATCTTCTTCCTTTTTTTTCTCACCTCTCCAGCAGCGATCGTGATGACGTGAGGAGTGAAGCCTTGTCCAGCGGAGCCTGTAAGTAATGCCGGGTGTTATAGACCAAGCCGTATATGTATCAAAACTATACGACAATGAACAGAGAAAACTAGTAAAAGAAATGCAAGAAAAAGAAGAGGGATAGGATGGATAGAGCAACGAACGTACCAAGAGCTGCAAGTTGCTGCTTTTTCCCAGAGCCGGGAGGCCGGCCTCTCCTTTTCTCTGTGGGAGTAGTAGTGACCGATGATATCGGGCTGACCGAGGAGAGAGGCGTGAGCGCGAGCGACACACTGCTGCTGCCACTGGCACCGTCTCCATACTTCCTGGGCCTCCCCCGCTTCCTCTTGACAGGCTCCCCAGGCCGGACGCTACCCACAACGCCGCCGCCCATCACCCCGCCGCCGCCACCGCCTCCGGCGCCGCCACCACCACCACCGCCGCCGCCGCCACCGCCGAGCTGCTGTGGTACGAGAGCCATGCCATCGCCAGGATAGCCACCGGGCGCTTGCCCGGAGGGATTAGGGCTGGCGATGGAGGCCGGGCGGAGCCCCGATGAAGCATGCAAGCCGGTGGGCGATGAGAGGTGGTGAATGCCGGGAGGAATCGGGCCGCGCTGGAGAATGGCGGAGAAGGATGGAGCTTGCTGCGCGGCGGCCATGGAGTGGTGCTGCTGGTGCTGCTGGTGCTGCTGGAGATTGGAGGGCGAGAGCCCAGATGGGGGCTCCCTCCCTTCCATGCCGTAGAGTGATCTCAGGAGGTCGCCTTCCCCTCTCCACCGCTGCTTATCGTAGCCTTCCAGCGCGAAATATTTCCCTTTGCCGCCGCCAAGACGAAGAAGAAGCGCGAGCGCGAAATATTTGGATGTAGCGCCGCGCTGCCAATCGAGGAGGAAGAACAAGAAGGAGAAAAAGAAAGCTTCCTCCTTCCTCTTCTTGCTAGAGCGAAGAATCGCCGGAGAGGAGAAAGAAATCCCGTCGCTCGCCCGCTGCTCCTTGATCTATGCCGGGCATTTAGAAGAGGAGAGTATCACATTTCTCGGCGCCGCGCTCCTCACAAGATCGCCCGCTCATGCCAATGCCGGTTGCGCTGCTCCATGCCGCCGCCTTGCATTCTAGGCCCGCGATTGAAAAACCCTAGCCCCGCCCACGGCCAAACGGATTGGGCCTGCGCAAGAAAATCCCCCTCTTCCCTCGTCCGATGGAAGAATGGAACCAAAACAAACACACGCTCCACCGATCGATCGCGTCGCGACCGGTTGAATCGCGCTGCAGCGGATATCTCGGATCGCTGGCCCGGGCGCGCGCGCGCGCGCTCGCTCAAGAACCCTAAAACGAGGCAAGGGCGCTTCCTTTGCTCGCTTCAAAGATTTTCACACTCACTTCCCTCTCCAAAAAAAAGAAAAGAAAAAAAGAAAAACGAAACTAAAACGAGAAATGTAAAAGAAAACCCCTTTCTGTTTGAGAGCTAATGAACTGAAATTTAGAAAAAAAGGCCACCATTAGATCCACCCCCAGCCCTATTCTTATTATGAAACCAAGAGATCGATCGATCAATCCAGTCGCTATTATTAACCGCGGTAACTTTGCAATCGCTAGAAATTTATTAACGGCCAAAGTACATCCTCCACGCGTACTTCCCTGCGCGCTTGCAATGTTTGACCGACTCTTATCAACCGGCCGCCGCGAGATTATTCGCGGGGATATTCCCCATCTAACGGTTGGGAAGAATATGCCCCCGTGCGCTGACCTGGCATGTTATCTCCGCCACGTCACCAGGGAACGCCCAATGGGAGCGCGGGGTTGATCCCCATCATCCATCCGTTCCCTATCCCCATAATGGCCACCCATTTGCCATCCAGTATATTTTTTACCGAGGAGGAAATACGCGTGGTGATACGGCATACGAATATCGCGTGCGTAGAGAGATAACAATAATGTCCAAAGAATGACGTACAGGAACAACAATAAAAAATACTTGCGATTCTCTTTTTTTTCTCTTTTGTATACACGACGACGAGCACGAACACCACCACCACGTTAAGAAAATTAAGAATAGCGGATAGAAGTTCCTTATCTTTTTCTCGGCTTTGGACGAGCGCGCTATCATCTTCCAGTTGCTGCCGCCGCTGCAATTTGCCTGCTTCGATTCGCGATCGTCCTCGGCTTCTGATCAGCGCCCAATCCCTTCTCGCCATTTACTTCCAGATCATGCCTGCGGGGTTTCGATCGGATAAGTTTCCATGCCAGACAAAGGAAGATAAAATTGCAAAGCAGCAGCGAGAGAAAGAGAAAAAATTATCTTACTGGAACACGAAATCTGGGATGGTCAACTGGTCGCGTGGAACAAACTGAAAAAGATCTAGCAACCGCTCCACATAAACAACCTTTTTCCATACCTGAAAGGGGCAAAACAACAAGAACAGGCATTATTTACTCGATGATGATGTGAAAAATCGCTTTTTTTTTTTACCTCTTGATCGACTAACAGCTGCAACGCTAAAATCGCTGTCTTCAATCCTACTGTAGGATGCAGGACATAAATTGCCTGCAAGAAGACGTAGATGGTATCATAATTACCAGCTGAGAAGAATGAAAGCATAGCAGAACATACATTGAGATTGCGCTTATGCCTGCGGCCCAGAATTTGCTGGATTCGCTTTATCCATCCTAAATCCGGCACCCTGGAGGCATCATTTACAATTATTAGTGACGCAAAGAACGCTTGCCGACGCTGCTCACGCTTGTAGAGACGCCGCGGAGTGAATATAAACTATCGTGTATGACCTTTGGATGACAGGCTCAAACTCCTGCGAAAAATTTACAAGAGCTCGTAACAGCGAGAATAAAAAGTTATTTGTGCGCTTACCTTGACAACGTAGAGAATAAACCGCTCTAGATCGAGACACCGAAGTAGAAAATGCGCTCCTACAACGACAATCACTGGCTTGCCATCCGCGTCCACACCAGCACGGTATCTGCATGTCATACCCGTTGTATCAGCGTTGCTGTTCTAGATAGAGCTCTTACTGGTGCCTTACATAATCTTCATTTCTGCTACCTCAGTGAGATTGATCACGTTTGCTCTCGCCAGATAACGGGCATGGATTGCATTCTCTTCCGAAAGCGACAATGGTGCAGTGTTAAGTGATCCCAATCCCATCCATTTCATCCACGCCCAGCCTCCTTGAGCCTGTGCTATTTTCTCCCACTGTTCCTGCCTTCTCTGATCGGGATCCTTCGTCATGGACATAAACGCAGGGTCGACCAGTGCGTCCAACGATTCGTTCCTGTGCACAGAAGAGCACATTAAACTTCAAACGAGTAAAGAAATGATAGAACCTTTTAACTGCTACTGCTCGATAGTTATTGATGCCATTTTCTAGCGAGCTTGGAGCCCATTCGGATGAAGGCAGCGCAGAGATCCTAATCTTGCGCTCGGTTATAATCGTTTCTCCGTTCTCGTCTCCAACGTCAGCAGGAAGCTTCACGCTTGCAACATCTTCTTCGTACTTATCTCTTGGAAAGTAGAGTGGAAGTAACCTGTAACAGCCTATGGAAATATAAATACCAGCAAACGGTTTAAATCATCAGAAGAAATACTTCACCTTCTGTAAATCTCTGCATCCGTGGACGTTGTCATACAGAACACGATAGCGGTGATTTTGGTCCCGTGTTTCTCCATAAATCTACGCACCGTGCCTGTTCAGGCCCCAGAAGTTAAGATCATATTTGACCACGAAGGCGAGCTTACGAATTGCAACATGCGCAGCAGGTTCACGGGGGTAGCCTTTGGTTTCAGAATAAATACAGCCCATCGCAATGCTAAGAACAAAAAAGAAAAAACTCAAACAGTGAGGTTTGAGATAACAAACTTACCTTTCAAGGTCGTGCTCGATTAGGAGCTCAAGACAAGACCTATAGCAATGACTCAGGGCATTTTCAGCAGCTGTGTGATACTTCACAGCGTATCGAGGACCCACAGTGTGAATGACACGCCTAGAGAAAAAGCGTACTATGATCATGCACAAAATGATGTGATTTCCAAGTACCTAGCGGGTAAATCATACGCGCTGGTGATCTTCGCCATTCCAGTTCTGCAGCCACCCTGATAAAACTCGCTCCAAATGTTTCACTAATCCGGAAACAAAATGCAAAGATAGATGGAAATCTTACCAGACTCGAGCACTCCTCCGCAAGCCCCGGTCCAGCAGCAGCATGTAGTCCAGGACTGCTATGAGCTTCATCTAAATTCTAGAACATCACAATTCAAGCTCGTGAGCACGGAGATGAAACCACAAAACTCAAACTTGCCTCGTTAGTAGAATTCACCACCGCATCGACTTCCAGGTTCCAGGGAACACCTTTCCAGATATACAGCTTCCCGTTGATGCTGTGATCAATCCCAAACTTGGAGACCTTCTGGCCACTGCTCCCGGACAGCGGGTCAAAATTCCTCTGCGCGGCATCGTCCAATCCGTCCCCCCCACTGCTGCGCTGCTCGACATCGCTCCAGCACGGCACCTGGTCCAGCTTCACCACCGCCCCAGCTCCATTCCCACTGCCCGGGCCGCCGCGCGAGCCACCGCTGCTGACCCGGCTATACATCACTGGCAAGCGCGCGCAACCTCACGATCCGCGATCCATCCTGTCGATCGGCGAGCTGCTCGGCCCAAGAACCCTAGAAATATTTCCACAGATGGCGCTTCCGTGCCCTTCGACGTGGCTGCCCGCCAGGCGTACGATAGATATTTCTCTCTGACAGGGGAATATGCTCAAGCAACCGGATAGGATGAAACTTAATATCCACTTTAATCAGGTTTAAGGGCCCAGTCATGCTACCCCACGTGAAGAAGAAGGCAAAGTGACAAATCTATGTTTTTAAGTTGCTGGCATTGGTTGGCGGATTTAAGCAAAAATACAAGCTCTCGCGTTGCTTGCTCGCGCAGGACTCTGGGATTTTTTCTTCGTTTTTTCTGGCTTCGCTCGCTGAGATTTTATCTGCGCAAGCGATTCGGTTGCTGCAACGAAAGGAACACAATGATTCTCTTCTCAAGCTTTTAGCGAGCCAATCGTTCTAGCTTTTAAATCAGTAAACTTTCACGAACAAACCTGGAAGGGGTGGCTCGCTCTATAGTGGAGACAAAAGTGCGTTGTGTTTCTTTGATGCAACAGCGTTCTTTCCACTCCTCATCCTCCTCATCCTCCTCTTCGGCTTTGCCTCCCTTTCAACGATGTGGTTCACTAGGAAGAGCAAGTCCGATTTTCTCCCACAGCTCCTCCCGAAGAAGTTCTCCTACAGCCAGATACGAAGCATGACGAAGAACTTTAGTACCAAGCTCGGGAATGGGGGATTCGGCCAGGTGTACGAAGGATTTCTCAAGGACGGGAGCAGAGTGGCTGTCAAGGTTCTCAAGGAATGGTCCACTCAGGGAGAGAAGGAATTCAAAGCGGAGGTGATTTCCATGGCGGGGATCCATCACAAGAATGTCATTCCCTTCAAAGGCTACTGCACTTCTCGCAGGATCCTCATCTACGAATTCATGGTGAATGGCTCGCTCGACAAATGGTTGTTTGCGGAGCCAGGTGAGTGGAACTCCTTGCTGTTCTGGGATATTTGCCTCTCTATTTCTTTGCCGACTAGGGAGCTAAAGGTGATCGATCGTAATGCGAATGAATTACCTCTGTCCTGTGAAACTCCAGGAAAGGAGCGACTGCTGGACTGGCCAAAGCGGTACGAGATTGCGCTGGGAATGGCCCGAGGCTTAACTTATCTGCACGAAGAATGCACACAGCAGATAATTCATTTGGACATCAAGCCCGAGAACATACTCTTAGACGAGAACTTTTCTCCAAAGGTAACGTCGCTTGCTCTTCCATCTCCCTGGAACAGCAAAGCTTCTGGAATTAAATGGTTCCAGCTTTCTCAGAAAGAAAAAGGAAGCTAAAGTGTCTTACACAGGTCACCGATTTCGGACTGTCAAAGCTGGTGGATCGAGACAAGGCCAGGGTCGTGACCAACATGCGTGGAACTCCGGGCTACCTCGCTCCCGAATGGCTTAACTTCAACGCTCCAGTCTCCACCAAAGTCGATGTATACAGCTTTGGCATCGTTCTCCTGGAGCTAATCTGCGGAAGAGAGTCATTCCAAATCTCTAGCAGCAAGAGCTCTGAAGAATGGTACTTACCGCCATGGGCGAGCAAACTTGTAGCCGAGGGACGGGGACTGGAGCTCGTCGACACACACCTCAACGAGGAGGTGGAGTACTTTTACCAGGATCAAGCCAACCGGGCAATCCAGACGGCTCTGTGTTGCATCCAGCAGGATCCATCCAACAGACCATCGATGAGCCGAGTCCTCCAGATGCTGGAAGGCGTGATCGATGTTCCAAGGATCCCTACAAAGCAAAAAACCCATCAGACCGCGGATGAGAGAGTCCGAGAAGAGCTCAAAGCCTTTACAGCGTGTATCAAGAAGGAAACGACCTTGCGAGCAGCGTTTGATGCCAGCGATCGCAGCACAGGGACCTCCAGTAAGTCATCTAAACTCTGCGACTCTCAATCCAGACCTTGATGCCCAAGGAGACGATCGATCATCCAAGAACACGGTCTTACCTCGATATTTCGATCTTGCAGGCACGGATTTCAACCTCTCCGACCCGGATATCGCGAGCAGGACGCCGCTGCGATCCGTCCCGCCATGGCCGCTACGCGGCGACATTGTGAACATCCAGGTGAGCGATGTGGCCGGCGATTTCGTCCACGCCGTGGTGCGCGACGTGAAACCCCAACAGCACCAGGTGAAGCTGGGGATCCTGTACAAGATCGACACCGCCAATCGCTGGGGCGTGATCGAGGAGGAGGCGCGGTGGAGGAACTGGAGCGTGCTGGTGTCGACGCTGCGGCACTGGACGGCCGTGAAGTGGGTCACTGTGCCGGGGCCAGTGGGAGGGTACCAGAGATTGCCGGTGGAGTGGATCGCCGCCAAGCCACAGCTTCCCTAGGAACGGAAGAACCCTATTCTCAACGGTCCGAATTTTTCTAAGGGGATGTAGCTCAGATGGTAGAGCGCTCGCTTAGCATGCGAGAGGTACTGGGATCGATACCCGGCATCTCCAAGCAAGAACACGTTACGTCAGAATTTAATTGAAATCGCGCCAAGCATATACGTTGGAAGAACATGGGAGAAATGCTGGCAAACAACTAGGCGCAATCGTGTGATAACTCCTAAATTTTTTTTTCCGAACCAATTCAATACATCATTCCCAACTGTGTGTCCCTTGTTGGCATCGAAGAGGACATGCCCGGAAAAACCCTAACCAACTACGTGGCAGGACACCATTGGTGTTCAAGCGGCAGCATGTGCGCGCCAGCCGTGTCGTCCGGGCCCTCACACGTCGTCGTCGCTGCCTTGCTGGCACCCGGCCGCCACGTCGGACCCACAACTTGGCGTAACACGTCTCGTATGTGAAACCACGTTATGTTAAGTTTTAATAGGTCGGTCCTTTGCCTTTTAAAGGAGAGGCACCGGTTAAATTTCCCCTGTTAAGAGAAGGGAAGACGAAGGAACGCTCGTTGCTTATAGAGTTCTTGCGAGGAGTTCTCTCTCTCTCTCTTATTCCAGGGAAGATCGATCTATAGTTTGCGAGAGGAGAGCTCGGGATCTTGGGAGGAAAGGAGAAAATGGCACAGATTTTCTTCCTCGCAGTAGCAGCATTGCTCGTCTCATTCCAAGCTTGCAGTGGCGAGAACGAGTATGTCGGTAAGCTCTCGAAGAACTCCTCCATGTTTTCTTTGTGAGAACTTCTCCTTCCTCTCGAGAAGGAGATCCAGGATTCTCGAGGAGGAGGAAAAATCTCAGGAATGCTGCTTGGATCTGGGCAGTAGCAAGGATTTCACGCTTAAATTTCATTCTTTCCTTGCAGTTCGTCCCGGAATGAAGCTGGAAGTGTCATTCGCGGACGTCCCAGCAGCGCCGCCCACCGGATTCCTTGCGCCGCCACCAGTCCCGGTTGTGGCGCCGCCCACGCCCACGCCAGCGCCCACGACGCCCCCGGTTGCGACGCCGGCCCCGGTTGAGGCGCCGGTCCCCTCTGCCGCCTCGCCGCCAGCGCCACCCACCGCTCCCACCCCCGGCGGCTCCGCCAATGCTCCAGCCAGTCCCCCCGGCACCACTCCATCCTCGGCTCTCGCCATCGTCTCTCCCATCTCCATCGTTTTGGGCTCCATCGCGCTGCTGGGTCTGTTCTAGACCTCGATCTTTTTCCAATCCATGCTCCATTTTTTCCTTCTCTCTCTCTCGATTTTCCCAGTCCTCTCTCGATTTGCTCCTACATTGGTGTGCGTAGATTTGTCTCCTCGCTCGCTCTCGCTGCTCTGATTTGGATTGGAGACTCCTCCCAGATCTCCCGGTTTCGTGACGATGGACAGATCGTTCTCTTTCGGCTATTTTACCGTCTTCTTCGTCGATCGATCGATCAGTCGGCAGCTCTGTACAAGTAAAAATGCGTTCTTTCCTCTCCCTTTGCTTCCCTCCTCCTTCCTTTCGCAGGATCCATCTCCATCCCACTCAGAGCAGCAGAGTTTCTAGGAAATTTTTTGTTTTCGTTGTGGTTCTCTCTTTAAAAATTCGATTTTTTATCCTCTCTCCAGAGGAGCACCACTCCACAGCTTTGTGTGATCGATCGAATCGCCTAGAGGAGCGACGAGCACCACTTCCAATTCCAGGAGCAAACGTCACGGATTAATCGATCGATCGCAATCTCGAGCGAAGAAAATTTGGCGTTGCTAGCTAAAAACAGGGGAAAGGTGTGGAAGGAATCACGGGTCCACAAAAGAAGGCCTAGAGGCTCCACAATTCAAGGCGTTCGTGGTAAGGCATCGCAGCGCCAGCACCAGCGCCCAGGCATTGTTTTTCAATGATTCCTTTCGAATCTCGTGCGCATATAACTCGCATCGACCTAGATCCCATTGATCCAGCGCCACGTTTGCCTCTCCAATCTCGCGATCAATCAGAGATGGATGCATGGCCTCGCCCTCCACCGCTCCAATCCAATTTTTCCTCCTCGCCCATAGCCCACTTGAGAAGTGGAAGAGAATATAAAGGCAGGGAAAAAAAAAGAGAGGAGAGGACAGGCAAAGCTCCAAACAACAGGGTCTCTCTCGTCCCTTTGGCTGTCGCGCAGCAGCAATTCTGGCAGTGGCACTGCGGATTTTTCTTGGAAGCTCCAATCCAGCTCCGATCCAGCCCTCATTGAGCTTAACTAGAGAAAATCTCTCTCTCTCTCGCAGCTCACGAATCGCCACTCCACTCGCTTTACACCCCTCACATGGCCACCAGCAGCGCCGCAGCGTAGTACTTACAATCCATCCGCGTGGTTCTAGAAAAGAGAATTCGCATCTTCACATGGTAGTGTCAGATCTCCTAGTCCCCTGTTCTTAGAGTTTTCCTTTTAGGGTTCTTAACTTAGGGCAAACTGTAAAGCTGACGTGGCATATCTAGATATTCTTTTGGATATTTCTTGTTTGAGTGAGAGGTGAGAGGTGAGAGGAGGAGAACGATGGCTTGCAGTGTTCCCGGCCTTGGCGGGACTAGGGCACCGTTTAGGGTGTGCGAGCAGCGCCTGGGATCGGGCCTGGGGCTTCTCTCGTCGCCATGGCGCTCCAGATCGTCTGCGCCATCGCTAGCCCGCCGGATTGGATTCCACCAGGTACGCGCCTCGCTCGCGCCAGGATCGGCCGCCGAGCGCCTCCAATCCCTCTCCGGCGTCGTCAGCGATGAGAATGTGCCCGAGGGCCACTCGGGGCTGCACGGATTCCTCTACGGCGAGGCCGGGGCGGAGGTCCACGGCGACGGCGCCGCCAAGGAATTCCAGGGCCGGGAAGGGGAGGACGATGGAACCAGCGTCCTGGAGCTCGAGAGCTATGTCTCGGCGAGAGAGAGCATCAAATTCCCGGGGGTCTACGCCGTCTATGGCAAGAACAAGGCGGTGGAGTACGTTGGCTTCTCCAGGAACGTCGTCCTGTCGCTCAAGACGCACAGAACCCGCGCCGGCGAGGAGCGCTGCGCGTTTGTGAGGGTGAAGCTCTTTGGCGATCCATCGCTCGTCACCAAATCGAGGCTGGAGGAAGAGAAGCAGCGCTGGATCCGAGAGCTCGAGGCCGTGCCACCGGGGAACTCCCCGGAAGAACAGAGCCTCTGGTCTTCTTCCGCAAAGGTGGTGGAGACGAGCAGCGCCAAGGCCAAGTCCATGTCCGAGAGCGAGCGGAGGGAGTATGAGGAGAAGAAGCTCAAGCTGCGCAAGGCCATGGGCGAGAACTTGCACGACGACGTCGATGGCGAGGACGAGGATGCCAAGCTGCGGCGCCTCAAGATCTTGCAGGCCGTGGAGGGCGATAACTGGAGCAGTGTGATCGATGGCCAGACCATGGAAACTGTTGGCTCCTCCGCTGATTCTTCGTCTTCGAATTCTTCTTCTTCGACTTCTTCGCGCGAGGTGGTGAGCCCGTTTGAGTCGAGCAACACGAGCAGCACAGCGGGCAGTGGCTTGTACTCCGCCGAGACGTATGATTTCACCGCGGAGAACGTTGACAAGGTGCTGGACGAGGTGCGGCCATACCTGGTAGCTGATGGTGGAAATGTGGCCGTCGTCTCGGTCGCGGATGGAACCGTCTCGCTGGAACTCCAAGGTTTGCTCTTGAGAAGCTGTTTTCTCCTGGCTGATCGTGCTTGGTTTCGTCTTCCAGGGGCTTGCGGGACTTGTCCCAGCTCCACGTCCACCATGAAAATGGGAATCGAGCGAGTCCTCCGGGAGAAATTCGGCGACGCTGTGAAAGAAGTGGTCGACATCAACAGGCCAAGTGTAACTTTGACATTTGAAGTAAGCCACCTCCTTTTTCTTCGCGCGATGGATCTCATTTCTCTGTTCCTTGCTCGTAGGCCTTGAATGGACAGATTGACATGCTGAGAAGCGCCATCGAAGGCTACGGTGGTGTGGTACAGCTCGCCACTGTTGATCCTGCCAAGGGAGAGTGTCAAATAAAATACAAAGGCCCGGTGCCGCTGGGCCTGGGGATCAAGGCTGCCATCAGAGACAAGTTCCCGGAGCTCAACGTCGTCTTGATCGATCCTTAGAGGATCAGAAAACTTGTTTGTGGCTTCATCACCATCTGGAATAACATGGTGTCAAAATTCGTCGACGGCGAATCGGTGCGTGGACAGCCTGCGCCGCCTCGCGAACCGTGTCATCGTCTACTGCCACGACTTTGCCCGAGCTGCGATCGGAGCTCGCACCGCGCAGCTATACTCATCATCCAAGACGAGCGAGAGCAAGCCTGGCGTTTGACAGGAAATGCTGGGATGTTTCGAAAAGATTCTCTGCGGGGAGAGTGTCGAGGACTGCGACTTCTATTATAGTGGTCTTGTACGCAGCAATAGCGAGGTAAACTTGTTTGTCCTAGCGAATGTGTAGAACAGTCTCGCTAGAACTTCAAAGAAACTTGCAAATGAAAGCTTGAAAAGTTCTTCCGGTGTTTCATGGAAATGGGATTTGAGGGCGAATGTCAATAGTTCACTTACATGGATTGGTTCGCTCTCTTTTGTGGCGGGATTTTTGGCACACCTAAAGCTCAATGCGCTCAAAGAAACAAAGCCTTTTCCGACTAGCAAAATGCGTGTTCTCATCTTACCGAGCAAAAGAAAGAAAGAAAGAAAAGAGATCCCGGAAGATGCAACTCCCTTGTAGTAATCTCAAACATCCCTGGAGTAGATCAATGCGGCGAGCCGCCTGTACATCCGCGGCGTTTCCCTACACTTGAGATCATGTAAATCGTCTTCCATGCTCTCCTCAAACTCAATCTTGTCAACCTCGCAATCACCGGTGATCCGACCGTGGGACGGGTAGCCTCCCTCGGTTTTCGTGATGGGGTAACGCACCTTCGCGTAACACTTGAAGAAGGCCGGGCAAGTCTCGGGCAAGTCGTTAGGCGCCGGATGCTGCAGAGACCAGCCCATGGTTTTGGACCTGCAAGCAATCAACGTGATTAAATTTCGAAACCATTGGAAGCTTTTTCGAGTTCCAAAATACCAGTGCATGCCTATCAGCGTCGTCTCCCTCATTCTGATCTGGAACGTCGATGGGAGGTTCTCTTCTAAAGCGAAGTCAGCCGGTTCCGTCGGCGGCACTGCCATTTGCCTGAGCTCTTCAACTGAAACATTCTTTAGCTACATCATCCAAAGACCAGTCCAGAACTTACAAGTTGTGGTGCATCCAACATAGAGTGGTAGCTTGGACGCACTTATCCAGAGCCGGACTACTTGAACCCTTATATCCAAGTTCTCCTCAAAGGTGAGGAATGTGCATGGTTCCATGAGCCACGCGGGGAAGTTATTCTTTGACAGAGCCAGCGTCACTTGGTTAGCTTCTTCGTCGGTGAGCCCAAGATCGAAGTCGAGCGTACAGTTCACTCGTTCCTCGTCATAGCCCTCCAGCAGAAAATCGAGATCCTTGGGCAGCTGTAAGCAACGATCTTTGTCTTTGAAGTCCGCGAATGGATTGGCATGGAGCTGCTTCTGGGGAACAAGATAACAAAAGTAGAGACATGGAAAGAGCTAGTGTGTAGTAACCTTTCCAGCGGTAGGGGCGAGCTGCTTGACCAGATCGTAGAGCCGTCCATGGCCTTCCTTGCCCAGGAAGCAGCACGTCCGAAAGCCATGAATGGCTTTCTTTCGCACCATTGTGGTCACCGCAGCAGCCGTGAGCGTCTCGAGCACAACGTCGGAAACTAAGGAGGAGCAAGTCAGGCGGATGAACTGTCTCAACTCCGCCACAGACGATGCTTCCGAAAGAGGTGTGCCTGGAAATGGCCTCAGCCTCAATCAGTCCCAAAGTACACAACAGTCTCTTACCTTGTGAGCTGCTGCTGCTACCCGCCATCGCTTCCTAGGTTTAGGGTGGCGTCTATTACCAAAGTCTATAACATTAACAAGGTTGCTTTAAAATGTGGACTTCCAATGAGCAACGGCAATGAACTTCTAATTTCAAGCTACTGACGGCTAGTTTCCTGGAAGAGCATGGACACAGACCCAAAGCACCGGTTCTTCAGTGGGAGCAGCTTTAAACTTCTATGTTGTTGGAACAATAAAATGCGCCGAGGACTCGTTCAACCAGCAAACTTATCAAGAACATGAAAACATTAGGAACGATGCGCACGGAAGACTATAGGTGCAACAATATGCCACGTAGGCATAATAACTCCGAAAGTCCTGGCCCACGGGGAGCTTTTTTTAGCAAAAATGTAAGTTAAAATTCGACTCGTGCAAAATTCGAGTTAATTTACTTAGCAAACGAATAAATGGAAAAAAATCTCAAAGCTTGACGAGAGTGAAGCCTCTTGAATGGCTTCACCTCCTTTGGACAATGTAAGTGGATCTTGCCTGCCTGCTCGCTTCCAAATCCCTTTCTCCATCGTGGCCAGGGAGCACTGAAAATACAAACACCAAGTATAAAGAGCTTGGATAACTCAAGACAAAACTTAACAGTGATACTTACAGTGAGAGCCAGTGTAAGAGAAACTTCCAGTGAGAAAAGTCATGTTAAGTCATGCGATTACATAAAGCTTGAATAGACAAGTTAAAAGTGAACATACAAAAAGTAAAAAATACAAAAGTATTTATTGGAAGTGCTGCGACCAAGAGCCTCAAACAATAGAGCAGCTTCTTGATAAACTCCTCTTAATTTTTAGAAGTCTAATAATACTTGTCCTCCCAAGGTAAATGTCATACCATCCCTGTCAAAGCACCTGGAAAAAATACACAATTTAGTTTGGATGATCAGAGAATCATAGCATACCTCAATATAATTCTTGTAGTTGCCTTTTCTCTCTGGGTTCGTTATAGGATGTAAGTGCATAGCTCGTTATCAATCACATGTTCTTGTATCTTCCAACCTGTTTGAACCACCAGAAGGTTGCTAGTGAAAGCACATATAGCGCAGAAGCTTACAAGAAGTTCGTGTTCTAACAACCAATGGCCATCTCTCGGTCAATTACCTAGGGGACCTGCAACTCACATCCACTATGACACTTCCAAAAGCTGGTTGAAGATACTCCAAAGCCATGTTAAGCTGAAACACATCATCAGTCTCAAATATGAGAAAGTTCTTTCGCAAACTTCTTCGTGACCAGGAAAAAGAAACGAAAGGCTCACCTTGCGAAGAACATTTCCCACTATCTGGTCGATCCAGAGGACTTCCTTGAGATTGACACGGCCGGCGGGATTGCTCTCGTGTTCATTCTCATCGGCTACATCAGAGAAGGGACGAAAGACGAAAAACAACAAACAACAGACCATAGCCAATCTCACAAGACACGGAGTGATAGCCATAACTCGGCCTGTCCTCGGTCACCTTGAACGCCATCCCGGCCAGAACCTTACAAACGAGCATGGCATGGTGCCTGGAACCCGAGGAGGCCTTGACATAGTAGTTTGCCTTGCTGCTGGTTGCTGTCACATAGATCCCCGGCCCAAACCGGAGGAATCCATCCACCTTTGCTTTCTTCTTCTTGAATCCGGCGAGGATGATGTTGCTGAGGCTGCACGAGAGATTGCTGCACAGTGACTGTTGCTGCGGAGAAGCCGGTTGACTGGTTGACTGTTGCTGCGGAGAAGCCCGCACAAGACCGTCGTGTCGTGGAAGCGCAGGACCTCGTTTCCATTCTTTCCGTACCTGCTGCCTTTCTGGGCCATCAGCTTTTCTCTGTAGTCCGCGAACCGCTTCACCCTGTGACCGGATTGTACACGCGGAGGATGTCAATGACGGACGCTTCGCTGCCTGGATGGTTTCATTTCGCATGGAAGTATGCGATGACTCTTCCTCGTTCCGGGTCGTCCTTGCGCATGCTCTCCACTAAAAAAACACGGGTAAATAACGAGAGAGCGTCTGGAAACTGGCCAGAGGAGTGGTAACCTGCGTGCTTTACCAGGAAGTGCTGGTCCAGGTACTGCGGGGAGTCGAACTTCGCGCCGCACACGAAGCATGAGAAGTGCTTTCCCCCGTCCCGTGGGCCGGACACCTTCATATTGCGTTACTGACGAGCGTTGGTGTTGATGGAGCTGCTGGTGATCCCGGAACTTCGCTCCACAGGACTTTGTCAACTTTGAAGAATTCAACTTATAGGTGTGATTGTTGGAAGAGAGTTCGGGAAGGGCGCAGCGCACATGGGCAAAGATTTCCGGTGGCGGGAGGGCGGCACAGCATGGTGCCGCATCTCTCGGCCTAGTATATCCTCGACAGCCATATCTATCAACCACCGCTGCTTTACAGCGTTGTTTGCAGCAGAGTGGTAAGTCGCAAGGCCTTTTCTTCTGCTGCTTCTGATGATCGGCCCGTTTGATATCTAGGCCCAAGCTGTGCATCACATCTCCACTGCCTTCTCCCAAGTCACGGCAAAGTGGGAGGGATCCTCAACTTTGATGAGCTTGTGCCTCAGTTTATTATCGTCTATGATATCGTGTAGACAATGCTTGCTAAAACTTTAGTTTTCATTCAAGTATTTAAAGGTACTTTTATTAGATAAAGTAACCTTTTCCTTTTCCCTAACTCTATATAAATTAGCTTGTGCATTAGGTTTTGCCATATTAAGGTTTTGACAATGCGTAGAAGGATTAGGGTACGGTCGCTGATGAAGAAGGATTTGCTTCGCGAGTGTTGGGATAAGGGATTTTTTGATGTCCAACACAGTTGGACTAACAAGCGTATAGAGGACAGGCTGAGTGGCGGAGAGCCTCCCAGAGGAGTAGCATCCGAGTGTCAACAGAAAATACATCAAGGGCTGCATCAAGGCTTATCACTTAAGGGTGCTCTAGCAAGATGCACCGTAGGTCCAGTAGTTATGGATGTAGATCCGGTTCCATCGGCTTCCACGGCGTCGGCTTCCATTCCCACGCCTTCGGCTACCCCGGATACCCTGTCGGCTTTCTCGGTCGCGCCTCCTGCTACTCCGGTTACAGTGCCTCGTGTTACCCCGGCTAGCCCGGGTCCTAGCAGGAAAAGGTCTCTCTTGAACTCTCCACCATCCGAAGCAACTGCAGCCTCCTTCATGTTCCAGCATCCGCTAGTATCTTGTTCCGGCAACTTCCCATCAGACGACAAGATGGATCAGACTTATGTGGGCTTGAGGCAGGCAACACTTGATTCTATTCTTGACAAGATCAGTCGGGGACCAGTTGAGACGAAGCGCTGCTTTTCTGAGGCAGCTACTGAGTCTCAAGACAGAATTCACATGGGCTCGCTGTTTCCCGGCTTTCGGTACGTGATTCCCCGTGATCGAGATATGATTGCAGAAGTGGAAGGAGTCACATTCTATGCCGTGCAACGCGACGAGAATGGTGAGATAATTCGTGACGACGACGGAAACGCTGTTCACGAGGTAAAGACGGACATGCGGGAATACCACGAGGTCGAGTACAAGGACGAACCCAAGGTAAGAGTAGCCTTATGAAATGATCTGCCTGCCTGTAACTTACGTGCTTCGTTCTGCTACAGCGGTGGCGTTGCGACTTCAAGAGCAAAGTGAAAAACGTTGAATTAATCCAGTGGATGAAGAAGCATTACCCTTACGTGAACCCCGAGTTCTGGCTGCCGGTTTCCGTCACTGAAGCTAAATGGAGGTAAATTAAATCCGTTTTCCCCTCGTAGCAGGCACTAACGAATGTTGGTCCAGTTTGAAAGACGAGGACACATTTCAGTCGGGCTCATCTGGCTGTAACGAGCTTTTGAGGGAGCTCGAGGAATTTCACCCCGTTGATCGACTGTATACCTTTGTTTGGGCCAACGATGTGTACAACTATGGGATTTTGGACATTTTTGGATTCGTGACAGTCTGCGACGGCAAGATCACTCCAGAAAGCTACGCGTAAGTGAGACGAGAGCACTAAACATATTTCTCATATTCTTCCTTTCAGGGCGTACAAGAAGCATGTTTCCAGTACGAGAGACTGGTTGAAGACCTCCTTCCCCGAGGAATCGTATGCGCTGGTGCCAGGTACTCTGGAGGAACTGCAAGCACAATATGATACGCGCAAGGAACAATATGAAAGGAAAACCGGCACAATGCTCACTCGAAGGAACTCCAAGTTTCTGGTCGGGGTTTACTACGTAAAACCCGATATGGTAAGCTGATCTCAATTCTTACAGCTCGTTCTCATCACCGCATTTTCAGAGGAAGAAACTGGTTACTGGCAATCTCGCAACAGACCTTGAGGACGCTTACAACTTCATTCAGGGCTTCATGAGGATACACGTCGGCAATGAATTCCTTGCGTGGACGCCGGAAATGGTTGAAGACATATACCAGCAAAGACTCATAGAAATCCGTAAAGAGCAGCGGAACGTCTTCAAGGCGAGAGTCTTTGAGCGGAACCTGGTGCTGTACGAATCTGAGCTGAAGGCAACAAAAGGGGAACTGTGCAGCATCAAGGAGTCGGAAGACAAGTATGTCATCCGTCTCAAACTACCGAGATTTGCAGGTTAGTGTGGTGTGTGGCCTCTTGACGATGCATGCTGACTGATATTGTGGTTGCTGCAGGGAGAATCGACATTGTATCTGGCCCTGTGAAAGGTGACCTGCAAAAGACGTGTTTGGACATGGTGAAGATTTACAGCAACGAGGAGCCTGTGGAGGACGAGTGCTGCCTCAGCATTGTGTTTGAATTCTCGTCCGTCGATACTATGCAGTCCTTTTGGGAGTACGACAACCAACAGGTGGTCATTTTTCTTCCAAAGAAGACACCTCCGCAGCTGGAGATTGTCCGTATGCAGAAGAAACAGAGGATCTGCTGAAAGAGTTAACGTTCCGTTTTGCCTGGTAATCTGATTTGTAGAAGATGTTTTGATCAAGAAACTGTATAGCTCAGTAAGAACCCTAGCTGTCTCTCTCCCCGATTTTCTTAGGTTTTGGGCCTGTTGGTTTAAACAAAAGCCTAACGGATAATGACATTATCACGATGTTACTTTTTATTTTCGAAACTTTAACACTCTTTTTTTGTTCTTCATGTACACAATCCAGCGTTCTCATCAGCTTCTCAAACTCGCTACTGTTCTTCATGACTGCAAAGCTGATGAGAACGCTGGATTGTGTAGATGAAGAACAAAAAAAGCCGTTGTGGCCATGGTCGCCACGAGAGCAGGCTGAGAGTACACGATATCACAGAACGACCAACCAACTCGGCCTGTCCTGACATGGTAGTTTGCCTTGCTGCTGGTTGCTGTCACATAGATCCCCGGCCCAAACCGGAGGAATCCATCCACCTTTGCTTTCTTCTTCTTGAATCCGGCCAGGATTATGTTTCAGAGGCTGCACGAGAGATTGCTGCACAGTGGCTGCTGCTGCGGCGTCCCGAGCCCGCACAAGACCGTCGTGCGGTGGAAGCGTAGGACCTCGTTTCCATTCTTTCCGTCCCTGCTGCCTCTCTGGCCATCAGCTTTTCTCTGTAGTCCGCGAACCGCTTCACCCCGTGACCGGATTGTACACGCGGAGGATGTCAATGACGGACGCTTCGCTGCTTGGATGGTTCCATTTCGCATGGAAGTATGCGATGACTCTTCCTCGTTCCGGGTCGTCCTTGCGCATGCTCTCCACTGAAAAAACACGGGTAAATAACGAGAGAGCTTCTGGAAACTGGCCAGAGGAGTGGTTACCTGCGTGCTTTACCAGGAAGTGCTGGTCCAGGTACTGCGGGGAGTCGAACTTCGCGCTGCACATGAAGCATGAGAAGTGGTTTCCCCCGTCCCGTGGGCGTCAACCTTCATATGCGTTGCTGGCGAGCGCTGGTGTTGATGGAGCTGCTGGTGATCCCGGAACTTCGCTCCACAGTCACTGCAGGCCAGGACTTTCGGAGTAGGAGTTGGGGCCGAGGGAGCCTTGGTTGAGCCAGAACATTGGCCGTGACTATCTCTGAAATGTTGTAGCATGTACTCCCTGCTCGTAAACGACCTCAAACAACCGTCCTTACCTTCCACGCTTTTTGGAGCGTTCCTCGTTCTTGCAATATAGACGTTTTCCGTACTCTGGATGTACTGTTGAGAGGATAGGATGATGTAACAAGTGATTATGCCTACGTGGCATATTGCTCGCAGTTACATCTATAGTCTTCAGTGTCCGTCGTTCCTAATGTTTTCATGTACTTGATAGGTTGAACTGGTGTTTCCAAGAGTCCTCTGCGTGTTTTATTGTTCCTACAACATAAAAGTTTAGAGCTGCTCCCACTGGAAGATGAACAGGAAGCGATGTTCTGTTGCTCTTCTTGCTCTTCAAGAGAACTAGCCGTCAGTAGCTTGAAATTAGATGAAAGTTCATATTCAAAATTGGTAATAAAAGGGAAAGTATAAACCCTAAAACTACGAAGCGATCGCGGCTATAAGAGCCCGTTCTAGAAGTGAGGATTGTCCAAGAGAAGACGTTCCTGGTGACTATCTGGTCGAAGGCACTTCGCGCTTGATCCAGCTCGCCGCATTTACCATACATCTGGACTTGAGGAGGAAGTGGAGCCTCTTGCCTTCCCAGAGGTTCTGGCTGCTCCCGCATCTTCGCAACGCCTCGGCGTAGCATTTGGTGGTGTCGCTGCTGCAGCGCAAACTTGGACTAGAACCCACTACTGCTACATCGCTGGCGAGCCGCGGAGAAGAGCTGGAACTCCAGACAGCGTCCATTCATTCCATCACAAAGCTCTTCGCAAGCATTAGGTAAGGTTATTTTGTGATTTATAGATTCTTTCTTTCTCTTGACACGATCGGAGACTTATATTTTGAAAGTAAGGAGTCCAGAGGAAAAACTGCAAGCTCTCAGCCAGGCAAGAAACGTTTCAAACTTTCATTTAAGAGAAACGCTTTGAAAGAGCTAACTTCGCAATTCTAGCGAATCTCACGACAGATACAGTCGCCAGCAATGAATAGAGTTTATCTCGCTAGCTAAAATTTTAGTTTGCATTAAGTATTTAAAGGTACTTTTATTAGGTGAAGTAACCTTTTCCTTTTCCCTAACTCTATAAAAATTAGCTTGTGCATTAGGTTTTGCCATATTAAGGTTTTGGCGAGATGACGAAGTGGTCGAGGATCTTAGTGTTCGTGGTTGTGATCTTGGCTCTCTGCGTGTGCGTGTATGGGAGGTCAGTTCCTCAACTCGGGACTATCTACATGGGTGATTCAATCTTCGACGTGGGCACAAACAAATACGTGAAGAATTCAGTTTCGCGCTGTGATTTTGTGCCATATGGGGAGACGAGGTTTAGCAAGCCATCCGGGAGGTGTAGCGATGGGTTTATAATTCCAGATCTGATAAACAAGGCGATAGGTTTGCCCTTTTCAAGACCATTCCTGGGCTTGAAAGCTGGGAGTCAACTTCCACCAAGCATTAATTTTGCGTCAGACGGCAGTGGCTTACTCGACTCTACTCACTCGGACTGGGGCGTTGTGTCGTTTAACGAGCAGCTAAAGCAGCTCGCGCAGCTCTCCAAGAAAAATCTCAATCTCAATGATTTTGTGGTTGTGATATCTTCTGCTGGGAATGATATTGCGGCAAATCTTCAAAACATTGCTGATATTGACTTGAAAGCAATGTTAATGTCATTAGAGAAAGGATTGGAACAGCTATACAAGTATGGATTTCGAAAGATCGTCTACTCAAGTGTGGGGGCACTAGGGTGTTCACCTATTGTGACCTCTGGAGGAAAATGTGTGAGCGAGATTAACAATCTGGTGGAAGAATTCAATGTGCAAGCTCGGGAGATTGTTTTAGGGGTGGCAAAGAGATTTCCAGGGATGAAAGGAACATTTGTGGATGGCTACTCTTTGATTAAATCGTACGTGGAGAACCCAAAGAGGTTTGGATTTAAGCATGCCGGGGGTTGTTGTCCCAATTGCCTTTCACAAAAGAATACACTGAGTGGGCTGTGCAAGAATCCAAGCGATTACGTCTTTTGGGATATAATACACCCAACTGAACACACGTATACGCTCTTAGCCAAGGAATTCATAAAGAAAATCATAGAAGTGTTGTAAAATTAACAAACTTGTTTGTTTTGTGGGATGAATTCCTTGTTTTTTCTGCAAGAAATATGTAGAAGAATGAAATATATTTAAACTTTCTTGCTTAAAAGATACTCGAAATACTTTTTATGTGCTAACTGATCTGCCTTGACTGGAGAAAAAGCCATTTCATCCGTTTGAACGTCAATGCACGGGATCAACAGATTTTGGGAGGCTACTGTTGTTGTTTGAATCGAATCGTACTTGCTATTTCCCCAGTCCGACTTCACCAATCGATCAACTATACAACGCCACTTGCCAGGCTACTTGCTGCGATGATTCTCCACGGGCTCCCTCCGCGTTGCCATTGCCGTCAGCGACATAGACTCCCTCAATATCGGTTTGCCAAAAGAGCCGAGGTGTACATGGTACTCCTCAAACATCTCCAAGCAAATACAAAAAGGAAAAAAGTGTGAGCTTGCTTTGATCTGCACCGACAAGTGAACCGCATATGATCACCGAGTCAAGCTTAACTTATAATGGCTGTACTTGCGTTCAACTTTACTTGTTTCAGTCTCTGCGCAGACAGAGAACTGGCAACTCTTACGAGGAAAGATGGATCTGAAGTTCGATCCAGCCTCCAAGACGAGCGACCTCCTGCCGTGATCGAGTTTGGACTTCTTATCACCACCACCACGCACATCGCTCATCTCGTCCTGTATGACTAAGCCCAAGCTGGCCGCCGATTACTGCAAGTAAGCTTTGCCTCTACCCGCTGTCCACGAACCCTTCGTTGTGGCCATGGTCGCGACGAGAGCAGCTGAGAGAGCTAGCGAGATAAACTCTATTCATCGTTGGCAACCGTATTCGTCGTGAGATTCGCTAGAATTGCGAAGTTAGCTCTTTCAAAGCGTTCCTCTTAAATGAAAGTTTGAAAGGTTTCTTGCCTGGCTGAGAGCTTGCAGGTTTTCCTCTGGACTACTTACTTTCAAAATATAAGTCTCCGATCGTGTCAAGAGAAAGAAAGAATATATAAATCACAAAATAACCTTACCTAATGCTTGCGGAGAGCTTTGTCCAGTTCCTCCTCAAGTCTCGCGGCTACGACGGTGATACGTTTCTCGGGAATTTGCTCGTCCAGATGTATGGTAAATGCGGCGAGCTGGATCAAGCGCGAAGTGCCTTCGACCGGATAGTCAGGAACGTCTTCTCTCATCCTCGACGGGCTCTTATAGCCGTAGTTTTAGGGTTTATACTTTTCCTTTTATTACGTCGTCCTGTCGCTCAAGACGCACAGAACCCACGCCGGCGAGGAGCGCTGCGCGTTTGTGAGGGTGAAGCTCTTTGGCTCGCTCGTCACCAAGTCGAGGCTGGAGGAAGAGAAGCAGCGCTGGATCCGAGAGCTCGAGGCCGTGCCACCGGGGAACTCCCCGGAAGAACAGAGCCTCTGGTCTTCTTCCGCAAAGGTGGTGGAGACGAGCAGCGCCAAGGCCAAGTCCCCGAGAGCGAGCGGAGGGAGTACGAGGAGAAGAAGCTCAAGCTGCGCAAGGCCATGGGCGAGAACTTGCACGACGACGTCGATGGCGAGGATGAGGATGCCAAGCTGTGGCGCCTCAAGATCTTGCAGGCCGTGGAGGGCGATAACTGGAGCAGTGTGATCGATGGCCAGACCATGGAAACTGTTGGCTCCTCCGCTGGTTCTTCGTCTTCGAACGCTTCTTCTTCAACTTCTTCGCGCGAGGTGGTGAGCCCGTTTGAGTCGAGCAACACGAGCAGCACCGCGGGCAGTGGCTTGTACTCCGCCGAGACGTATGATTTCACCGCGGAGAACGTTGACAAGGTGCTGGACGAGGTGCGGCCATACCTGGTAGCTGATGGTGGAAATGTGGCCGTCGTCTCGGTCGCTGATGGAACCGTCTCGCTGGAACTCCAACGTTTGTTCCTGGCTGTTTTCTCCTGGCTGATCGTGCTTGGTTTCGTCTTCCAGGGGCTTGCGGGACTTGTCCCAGCTCCACGTCCACCATGAAAATGGGAATCGAGCGAGTCCTCCGGGAGAAATTCGGCGACGCTGTGAAAGAAGTGGTCGACATCAACAGGCCAAGTGTAACTTTGACATTTGAAGTAAGCCACCTCGTTTTTCTTCGCGCGATGGATCTCATTTCTCTGTTCCTTGCTCGTAGGCCTTGAATGGACAGATTGACATGCTGAGAAGCGCCATCGAAGGCTACGGTGGTGTGGTACAGCTCGCCACTGTTGATCCTGCCAAGGGAGAGTGTCAAATAAAATACAAAGGCCCGGTGCCGCTGAGCCTGGGGATCAAGGCTGCCATCAGAGACAAGTTCCCGGAGCTCAACGTCGTCTTGATCGATCCTTAGAGGATCAGAAAACTTGTTTGTGGCTTCATCACCATCTGGATAACATGGTGTCAAAATTCGTCGACGGCGAATCGGTGCGTGGACAGCCTGCGCCGCGTCATCGTCTCCTGCCACGACTTTGCCCGAGCTGCGATCGGAGCTCGCATCGCGCAGCTATACTCATCACCCAAGACGAGCGAGGGCAAGCCTGGCGTTTGACAGGAAATGCCGGGATGTTCTTGTTACATGACAAACCCTCGCCACGTGTCCATTAGGGTTTTCCTGTTCTGTCCGCTAGCGCGGTGCGCTTTGATCCCGATTTGTCTCATGGTATCGGAGCTGGGATAGCGCTATGGAAGGAAAGCCATCCATCCGCGAGTTTGATGGAGAAGGGTTTGAGGGATTCAAGATCCATCTTGAATCCTATCTCTTGTTTCATGGTTTGTTGGGGATTGTAGATGGGACAGAGTCATCACCGGCTCCAGGCTCTAGCACTGCTGAGGTGCGTGATTGGAACCTTCGGGATTCCAAGGCTAGAGGGAGTATTGCGATGTGCTTGTCCTCAAATGTTCTCTTTGCTGCCCCATCAATTCCAAAGTCCACTGCGGCAGAGCTTTGGAAGTGGCTGAGTGACACTTATGGCACCAAGAGTGAAATGGATGTCTTCAACATCCATTCACAAATGGATTCCTTGAGGCTAGAGGAAAATGGCAGTATCCAGACTCACACTGCCAAGCTCCAGGGCTTCTTCACACAACTTGCAACTGCTGGGGCGAAGCACTGTCTCACGGATGAGCAGCAGAGGCTGCGGCTCTACAGGTCCTTGCCAGCGAGCTGGAAGAATGCAGTTGAGAGCCTGCTTCTCCAACCAAGGATGACTTGGGCAGATGCCGTGAGGAGTCTTCGCAACATTGAGGCCATGCGAAGCGAGAGAGCTGAAATGCCACAGGCTATGTATGCTTCGCAGGCTTCTGGTGATGCCCAGGTGGCAAAACCGCATGCAGCTGCAAATGCCCAGAAAGGGCAAAATTCCGTGGCATCTGGGCGTGCCAAGCCCAGACTTGCTAAGAATCAGTGTGCTCGCTGCTTGGAGATGGGCCACTGGGCTCGAGATTGCCCTGCTCCCAAGCCTGTCAAGCGACTAGCTACGTTGGCGAAAGCTAATTTGCTTGAGCGTGATGGAATTGCTACTGCAAATGAGGCTGTTGAGGAGCTCTACAACGCAGAGGCAATTGCTGCACCAAGCCGGTGGCTCTTAGACTCTGGTTGTACTAATCTTATGAGCAATAAGAAGAGTCTTTTTGAGTGTTATCAGCCGAGCATTGGAAAACGTGGTGTTCATTTAGGTGACAATACCACCATCCCTGTGGACGGCATCGGGCAATTCCGGCTCTCACTCGATCATGGGAGGACCATGGCTTTTGATGGTGCCATGCATGTTTCCACCCTACGACGAAACTTAATGTCCGTCGCCAAGATATGTGATCAAAATGCGGTGGTAGTCTTTGATGCAAAGGGAGTCTCTTTAGTTGACTCTAGCGACTTTCATATGCTTGGTACACAGTTGCTTCGTGGGTCACGCATTGGGGACTTGTATGAGATTACTGCTGTCGACCCAGTTCAGGCCTTTCAGACTGTGGAGGCAGATTCTCGTGCGGAGCTTTGGCATAAAAGACTCGGTCATGTTCATTACCAATCTCTTCAACGGATGAAATCCCAAGATATTGTTACTGGATTGGATTTCCGACGTATCCCATCTACATTTTGTGAAGCTTGTGTTTTAGGCAAGCATCACCGCCGGAATTTCTCACCGAGTAAGCATCGAGCACTTGGACTTCTGGACTTAGTCCATTCTGATCTTTGCGGCCCCATGGACGTGCCAAGTCACGATGGCGCAAGATATTTCATCACATTCATTGATGACTATAGCCGTCGAACATGCATCCACTTCTTGATGCGTAAGAGTGATGCAGTTGCTGCCTTTCAAACGTACAAGGCATACGTTGAAAACCTCCTTGGTCGAAAGATAAAAGCTCTTCGAGTTGATGGTGGTGGTGAATACCTCAACAATGAGCTTCGGGGCATTTGTCGTGATGTAGGCATACGACTGCAAGCTACAGCCCGCTACACCCCCCAGCAAAATGGTGTTGCAGAAAGAAAGAATCGTACTCTTGTCAATGCTGCTCGTGCTTTGTTAGCCGATGCACATCTTGACAAGATGTTTTGGCAAGAGGCCATAGCCACAGCAATGCATGTACAAAATCGCCTTGCCACGGCTGCTTTGGATGGAAAAACCCCTGAGGCATTTTGGACAGGTTCTACTCCTGATGTGTCCCACTTTCGGGTCTTTGGTTGTGCAGCATACGCACATACCCCTGATCAACTTCGGAAAAAGCTAGATCCCAAGAGTAAAAAATTCATCTTCGTGGGATATGCACAAGACGACACTATCGGGAGAAAAGCTTACAAGTTGTGGGATCTCGCATCTCACAAGGCTCTTGTAAGCACAGATGTCATGTTCAATGAAGACGACTTTCCCATGCATACAGAGGCTCTTCAAGATCCTTCTTTTATTGCTGAGACTCGACTTGTTCCTTTGATCCCACTTATGGGAGATGGTCCACTCTTGCCTCCGCCTCAAGATCCTCTTCATGAGTTGCCACCAGAGATTCCATTGGGGAATCCTCCACTTCTGGACATGCTTGAACCAGCTGATGCTCCTCTAGTTGAGGACAGGCCTCCGACACCTCCACCACCTTGTCGACGTCGTGGCATGCCTGATCCGATGCCAGTTCTTGATCACCCCCGGGAACGTCGGCCCTCGTTAAAAGTCCGGGAAAATGCTGAAGCAGATGCTGCAGAGCTTGATGACTTTTGTGGCCTTGTTGACATCGGCATCCCCATGACCTATGATGAGGCCATCTCAGGACCTGAGGCTTCATCTTGGATGGAAGCTATTGCGGAAGAAGTTTCTTCCATTCGGGCTAACGGAACTTATGTTCCAGTTGATTCAGCGCCACCGGGACGACGTGTTTTGGATCCAAAATGGATTTTCTCCAAAAAGTATGGGAAAGATGGCCAGGTTGTACGTTATAAGGCACGGTTGGTTGTTCGCGGTTTTCGCCAAGTCCATGGCCTTGACTACGATGAAACATTCTCACCGGTTGTAAAAATGGCTAGCCTCCGTACTCTTTTTGCCCTTGCGGCTGCTCGCAAATGGCCAGTCCACCATATGGATGTCAAAACTGCATTTCTGAATGGGGATTTGCAAGAGGACATCTATATGCATATACCTCCTGGTTTTGAGGACGATGTTGCCCCTGGTGGCCCTATATGGCAATTGCGGAAAGCTTTGTATGGCTTAAAACAGAGCTCCCGTATTTGGTATCAAAAATTTGATGCCACCCTACGTGCTCAAGGCTTTCGTCGCTGTCATGCTGATCACAATGTGTATGTCAATGGTCATGCTGAGTGCATGGTTATTGTGGCCCTCTACGTTGATGATTTGCTCATCATGGGTGATGACAACGATGCCATTGCTGCTCTGAAAGATGCCCTCAGCCAGCAATTCCAGATGAAGGACCTTGGCCGAGTCTCTTACTTTCTTGGCTTTGAAGTCACACGTGACCCTGATTCTGGTGGCTACATGCTTAGCCAACGCCGTAAAGTCGAAGTCTTGCTGGATCGGTTTGGTATGCGTGATTGCCACCCCGTCAAGACCCCGATGGTCGTTGGCGCTATCGACCTCACAGTTGAGCAGTCTGGTGAGCCTCTACCCACTGGGACTCCCTATCGGCATCTCATTGGTTGCCTCACATATTTGGCCCTAATGACTCGCCCCGACATCACATATGCGACTATTGCCTTGAGTCAGTACAACACATCACCAACCACCATACATTGGCAAGCTGCCAAGCGTATCGTAAGATACCTCCGGGGCACTATGGACTATGGCATTGCTTATTCAGGGGGTGATGCATCATTAGCATGCTACACGGATGCTAGTTTTGCCAACAACAAAGGTCATCGCTCGACTTCTGGCATTTGCCTTTCCTTCTCAGGAGGTGCCATCACGTGGGCCTCCAAGCGACAATCTGTGGTGGCCCTTTCTAGTGCAGAAGCGGAGTACATCGCACTCACTACTGGTAGCAGGGACGTGGTCTGGGCTCGAGGGTTACTTGCCGAGCTGGGATGTGCACAAGATGGCCCCACTACTTCTTGGTGTGACAACCGAAGCAGCATTGCCATGTCCAAGAACCCCGTCCACCATGCCCGCTCGAAGCACATTGAAGTCCAATTTCACTACGTGCGTGAGTTGGTTGACGGTGGCACCCTCGCCGTCCAACATCTCGGGACACAGGATATGCCAGCCGATCTTCTCACTAAGCCGTTGGGGCCACACCAGTTTCAGCTCCTACGTGACAGATTTGGTTTGGTGAGTGGCTTCGGTTTGGGGGGGAGTGTTACATGACACACCCTCGCCACGTGTCCATTAGGGTTTTCCTGTTCTGTCCGCTAGCGCGGTGCGCTTTGATCCCGATTTGTCTCAGTTCTGCGGGGAGAGTGTCGAGGACTGCGACTTCTATTATAGGCTTCGATAGTGGTCTTGTACGCAGCAATAGCGAGGTAAACTTGTTTGTCCTAGCGAATGTATAGAACAGTCTCGCTAGAACAAAGTGGCTCTTTTCAAACGTTTCAAAGAAACTTTCAAATGAAAGCTTGAAAAGTTTTTTCCCTGAGAGCCGGTGTTTCATGGAAATGGGATTTGAGGGCGAATGTCAATAGTTCACTTACATGGATTGGTTCGCTCTCTTTTGTGGCGGGATTTTTGCACACCCAAAGCTCAATGCGCTCAAAGAAATGAAACTGTCCCGGAAGATGCATCTCAAACATCCCTGGAGTAGATCAATGCGGCGAGCCGCCTGTACACCCGCGGCGTTTCCCTACACTTGAGATCATGTAAATCGTCTTCCATGCTCTCCTCAAACTCAATCTTGTCAACCTCGCAATCACCGGTGATCCGACCGTGGGACGGGTAGCCTCCCTCGGTTTTCGTGATGGGGTAACGCACCTTCGCGTAACACTTGAAGAA